TGGCTGAACCGAGCTATTTTGCAGCGATTTTCGGGTGCAAATGGAGTAGAGATTCGCCTAATTACCTCAGTTTTCCTCTAGGGGCGAAACCGAATGATAGCTCGATATGGGATGGAATCGTGGAAAGATATCAAAATAGATTAAGTGGTTGGGGAAGCAGAAATCTGTCATCTGGGGCGAGGCTAGTATTGATCAATGCGGTCCTTTCTGGTTCTCCATCATATTTATTTTCACTCTTCAAGGCTCCAAATTCAGTTGTAAAAGACTTAGAAAGGTACCAAAGAAGGTTTTTATGGTGTGGGAAGTCTGATGGTAATAAGATGGCTCTTGTGGATTGGAAGCTGTGTAAAACGCCTATTAAGAAGGGAGGTCTTGGAATCCATGATTTGAAGCTTTTTAATGATGCTCTGCTTTCGAAATAGCTGTGGAGATTTGCGGTGGAGAGAGGAAGTTGGTGGCAGGGATTGAATAATTACAAGTATCCGAATGAAGTGTCTTGTTGGCAGACCAAGAGGGAGAGAAGTGGATTCTCCAAGTCTGTTTGGGTTAACATCAGTAAGGAGTATGATCAGTTCTGGGAATTTCGCTGTAATTGATCCGGGGAATGGCACTCAAGTCTCCTTCTGGTATGATTGTTAGATCCCTGAGATTAGGGATGGCAAAAATATCCGTAACCGTGGATATCCGCCCGAATTAGGCATAATTGGGTAGGGTAAAACCCGAACCCGAAGGACATGTAGTGGGTACGGGTAAAATCCGAACCCGAATATTGCGGGTAATGGGTGGGCATGAGTTTCTCACTATCCAACCCGAACCCGCCCGATTATACACATGCATATGTATTTTGTCTAGGATTAATCATTATTTTTCTCTAACATATTTTATATTCAGCATATAAATATAATATTTTCATGAAACTGTGTATTTTTAATTAATTTTGTTCATTCTAGTGAATTATTGTCGTACTTTTCCTCTTACGTAATGTGAGAATACGTGTGAATGTTAACATATTGGTTGGAGTTATGAAGAGAAATTATTACCCATGGAAACCGTGGATACCTGAAACCCGAACGGGTATGGGCATAGTTTTGATTTTCTACCCGTTTCACATGTGGGTATGGGTATGGGTAAAACTCGAACTACTATGGGTAGGGTGACGGATATGCACTATCCGCGCCCAACCCGACCCGTTGCCATCCCTACCTGGGATCGTGCTGGCTGCCTCGTTTCCTCGCGTTGTTGCTGCTGTCCTTGACCCTGAAGCTCTTCTCTCCGACACTGCGAGTCTCCATGGTGAGTTGGAACTTTAGTTTCAAATATATTTTGAGGGGTGGGGCAGCAAGGGAGAGGGATACTTTTCTGAATCTTTTAAACTCTGTGAATTTGACGTACTCTTCACATAGTCTGTGCAGGATCATTTGGAAACAAGAGGCAAACTCGATCTTCTCGATGAGATCATTGTATTGGGAGTTGGCAGCCATTCATTTAAGTGGTCTCGAGGAGTTTCCAGTGGAGAAAGTTTGGATTTCGTGGGTTTCGAGTAAAATATGTTTCTTTATATGGCTGGTCTATCACAATAGAGTGTTAACTCTAGATAACTTGAAGAAGAGAGGGATATATTTAGCGAATAAATGCGTTTTCTGTATGAAGAATGAAGAAACCACTTTTCAAATTCTTGTGGAATGTGAGTACGTGAAGAACATTTGGAGAATGCTGTATTGCAGGAGGAGCGGGACACCGAGATGGAATGGAGAGATCAATCAAGTAATAGCAAATTGGCCGACTGCAGATGGAGATGGTATTGAGCAGTGGTTCGATGGCTGTATCCTACATGCCATTTGGTGGGCTGTGTGGCTCGAGAGGAACTAGAGGGCTTTCGAAGACAAAGAGACGCCTATGTTGGTGGTAGGAAAAAAGGCGGCGAAGAAGGCCTTAGAATGGATAGTGGCAAAAGGTAAAATGCAAAGAGCGGAGGGATGTTGATGGTTGTCAGAGATGGGTTTAGTGTAGAGATGGATCATAGAGGAGGCCGTGAAGGATGGATCTCGAGTTGTTTACATGGTTGTACAGAGGATCGTGTGGTTCAACTGGGATGGGGGAGTTACGCTCGGTTCTTGTTGCAAGAGTTTCCTGGCGGGGTGACGATGGTTTTAGAATTGTTTCGAGGAGGAGGCTGCAAGGGATGAAGTTAGACTGGTATCATTGGCCGTGCGGGAGATCTGCTGATGTTGCTGCTGTTTGGGTAGATTGTTGGAGACCTGTTAAGGGGAGGATATTTTAGATTTCGTTCCCTTTTGCTGGTTTTTCTGGGCAGAGGGAACTGATTTGTGGGTATTTAGCTCCCTATCCTTCCCCCAGTGGTTGAGATTTTCATTTAATGCGTTCTTGGGGGTCTAGGACTCGCAGGGGGATCCAAGTCATCTGATGTGGTTTAGTGGTGAGGTTTTTTTCATTGTTTCCTTTTCCTTTCTATATCCTTTTGTTTTCGGGATATTATTTTCTTTTGCTCTATTCAGGATCAACTGATCTCTTGATCCTGGTACTTTGTGTACAGTTATTTTATCTTAGTCTAATAAATTTTCACCATTATAAAAAAAACCCTTCATCCCCACACCCACCTCGCGTTTAACACATGTATACCTAATTAAATGTCATATAATCCTTCATCCTCCATCTTGCACCAAATTTCGGAAGAACACAACTGTAAGCTCCTCAATTTCACTCTTCCGATTCTATCAACAGATACAAGTCATCTCTTAGCCCTAATTTTCTTTAAAACTTCATTTTTTATGATTTTCTCTCTCTTCTCAATTAATTTATGATATTAGATATATGCTGTTTGTTTGATTATCGAACAATTAGATATATTTTCGACACAATTGCAAAAAAAAATTCTTTGAATTTTCAGTAGATGTGTACCATGGAGATTACAATAGTTATGCCAAGTTCGTGAATGATGATATGAGAATGAAAAATCTCCAATCATTCGGAGATCAATCAATACAGAAAAGAACATAGATTTAGAATTGCCATCCCTAAATACTGGGTTAATTGCATGGTTGGTCACTGAGATTACAAAAAACGTTCATGTTTGGTCACTATAAATATTTAAATCCAATCTTGGTCACTCAAATTAGTTAAATGGTTCAAGTTTGGTCACTCTCCGTTCAACTCCGTTAAATTTGTCTGATGTGGCAGTCAACCCTCAAAGTTGACCGTTAACTCAGTGACGTGGCAATTAAAAAATAATAAATAAAATAAATTTTAATCTTCTACTATTTCCAACTCATTTTTACATTAAAGTAAAATAAATAAAACAAAAAAATATTATAATTACAAATTGAAAAGGGCAGAGTTCCCGTTCATCTGTTTATTGAAGAGCTTGAGCTCGTACAAGTTGGGGGAGCTGGCTATACTCTCGGGCAGGCTCCCTTGAATCCGATTCTCGAACAAATTGAGCGACTCGAGGTCCAGCCCACAGAGCTCGTCGGGAATGGTCCCGGTCAAGTCGTTCATGGAGGCGTCGAAACGCCTCAAGGTCGTGAGATTGGAGAAGCCCTGGGGCAGAGCGCCGGTGAGAGAGTTGTTGTAGAGCCGGAGCACGGAACAGCCTTATCTACGACTGCGACGGAGAGATCGGAGCTAGTCAAGAGCTGTCGAGCGATCGTCAATCCGATGATTCCGGCGCCTATAACGACGACGTCGAAGGTGTGGAAAGAAGCAGAGGCGGTGGGGCTGAATCGGAGAGCCCGGCCGCGACATCGATGTGTCGCCGGTGAGCAGGAAAGCGATTTGGCGGGGAGTTTGGAGCCGAAGAAGGCGGATTCTGTGTTATAGCCGTTGGGGAAGGCAAGTGAACCGCGGCGGGAGCGTGGAAGAGAAGCGACATCGCGGTATTGGGGAGAAGAACAAGTCCACGAACGGGGGAGCGATAGCGCCGGAGAAGCCATTTTTGTTTGGGATAGTGCGTTTGAAAAATGAACAGATGGCAGCGGAGCGGTTTTAGCTTTGGGACTGTGGGAAGAAGAACGACTGTGGGAGGAGACCAGAGAAGTGCTGACTGAGTTAACTCTTAACAGTCAGATGAATGAAAGTGATTGACACTCAGTTGTTAAAGAATAAAATTAAAATTCAATAATCTGAAAGTGATTACCTGCGCCGGTAGCACCGGAGCACGGAATAGCCTTATCTACGACGGCGACGGAGAGATCGGAGCTAGTCAAGAGCTGTCGAGAGATCGTCAATCCGATGATTCTGGCGCCTATAACGACGACGTCGAAGGTATTGAAAGAAGCAGAGGCGGCGGGGCTGAATCGGAGAAGCCCCTTTTCAATTTGTAATTATAATATTTTTTTATTTTTTTATTTTACTTTAGTGTGAAAATGAGTTGGAAATGGTAGAAGATTATAATTTATTTTATTTATTATTTTTTAATTGCCACGTCACCGAGTTAACGGTCAACTTTGAGGGTTGACTGCCACATCAGATAAATTTAACGGAGTTGGACGGAGAGTGACCAAACTTGAACCATTTAACTAATTTGAGTGACCAATATTGGATTTAAATATTTACAGTGACCAAATATGAACGTTTTTTGTAATCTCAGTGACCAACCATGCAATTAACCCCTAAATACTTGAACAAAATAACTGAATAAGAAAATTGACCAATACACAAATGAGAATCAAATAGTTATACTTAGCTTTGACAGGCCAACTAATGATGTTTTTCTGTCAATTTCTTATGCCAAAATCCGGTTGCTTTGCTTTTTCTACCCAAAAAAAAAAACCGGTTGCTTCCCCCCTTTTTAATTATGCCAATTCACGACAATACCTCCACATGTCAATAATCTAGTGTCAAGGAAATGGACTGTTAATTTCTGGTTAATCCAACATCACCCAGCTAATAGCACTAAAACTTAAATAACTATAAAAACCAATTCAATAATAATTCCCACAACCCTACAAAAAACAATACAAACTAATAAATAACCATAACCCCCAATCCCGCCTTCCGGCAGAGCCAAAAACTCCCTCAAAAAGGGAGAACCAAAAAATCGCCGGCACAAAATAGGAAAACAGATTCATCCCAGCCAAAAAAAAAAAAAAAACACAAAGAACCCAAACATCGCCGGCGCCGGGGCCGGGAAGAAGGAAGAAGCTGCAAAAAAAAAAAAATAAAGAGGAAGGAAATGAAGCTATGGAGGAAAGCCGCCGGTGCCGTGAAGGACCAGAACAGCATCCTCCTAGCCAGCTTCCTGACCCCTCGGAGCTCTTCCCGGGACGGCAGCCTCGAGGCGGCGATCATCAAGGCCACCAGCCACGACGGCGACAGCGTCGACTACCGCCACGCGCGGCGCGTGTTCGAGTGGATCAGGACGTCGCCGGTGAGCCTGAAGCCGCTGGTGTGGGGTCTCAGCGTGAGGATGGAGAGGACGCAGAGCTGGGTCGTGGCTCTGAAAGGTCTCATGTTGATGCACGGCATCTTCTGTTGCGACACGCCGGCGGTTCACCGGATCGGAAGGTTGCCGTTCGATCTGTCGAATTTCGCCGACGGGCATTCGAATCCGACGAAGGTGTGGGGGTATAATACGTTCGTTAGGGCCTACTTCACGTTCTTGGATCGGAGATCCTCCCTCTTGTACCCCACTTGCAGGTATTATAAGACCAGCCTTTTCGAATTATTCATTTGACACGAAATGGTCTGTGACGTATTGTCAGGAACCAGTTTTTTTTTCTTCGTTGCATGATTTCATGTCGATTCTTTATTATGTTATAATTAACACGGCGTTTTATATGAAAAATGTGAAGATGTATGTGATAAACGAAGAAGTTAGTCAAATGTGTTCATGGATATAGAATCATCGTCAAGTACTTTTTTCTGCTGATAAGGCATGCATAGTCAAGTACATTTGCTTGAATGGGGAACTTCTTTGTTAGTGAAAATGAATGATCTAGCTAGCCATTGAATTATGTGCATTTGAATCATTTGTTGCATGAAATCATATTTTACCAAGTCAAAGATGTACTCTTTTCGAGAGATTTTGATAATGAATTGGATAAGCTTGTATATGAATGTTTAGATTTACGTGAAATCAGACGCAATCAAACGAAAAAGCATTGTTTTTTCGTTCTCGAATCTCTCGAATCTTTTTCATTTCGAACCCTAATAAAAAAATCAACACACTCTACTCCTATAGAGAAATATAAAATTTCCCCTCAACTTTTATTTTTCATATGGAAGAATCTAAACATTTTCAAGATTACAAGACTTTATTAAACTTTGGAATCTCAAATTGTGTATTGTAGCACAAACCACAAGTGCAGAAGGATGTTGTCGTCAAAAAGAACGGCCGCCATGACTACTCCTCCTCCGGCGGCCAACGACGAGGACAACCATGATGATCACGATGTGGTTACGATCACAAAGCTGGAACTGTGGCAAGAGATCCAGAAGCTGCAGAAGTGGCAGAAACTGCTGGACCTTCTCCTCCAAATCAAGCCGCTGGCCGACAACATGAAGCGAGACGCTCTGATAATGGAAGCCATGGACTGCGTCATCGCGGAGATCTTCGACCTCTACGGCAACATCTGCAGCGGGGTTTCACGGGTCCTGATGGAGGTCCACTCGGCCGGAAAGGCAGAGTCCACCATGGCACTTCGAGTGCTGCAGAAGGCCAGGGTTCAGGGCAAGAACATGGTTCTCTACTTCGAGTTCTGCCGCGCATTTGGAGTTTTCAGCGCCATGGAGGTCCCCAAAGTGACTCCTATCCCCGAGGAAGACATCAAGGTGAAATATTGGTTTCGATTTTTCGCTTTAAACAGAAATCGAATCGATAAGGTCCATATCAGTTTCAATTTTATTTTTTAAACTGGTTTCTATCTTGCCAGTTTCGGTTTAAACCAAAAAATCACTAAGCAACCGAAACCTGAAAAACAGTAGTTGTGAGGTGTCGGTTTCGGTTCAAACCAAAAAACCAATAAGAAACCGAAACCAGAAAAACAGTGGTTGAGAGGTGGGTGTAAAGAGTTTTCATTATAATTGGAGATGTAGGGGTTTTGATTTTCGCTTACCAAAATCGAACACCGATAACACCTTAACGGGTTTGGTTTCGATTTTAGAAAACAAATCGACATCCCTAGTTAAGACTCTGTATACTGTCAAGAATAAGAATCAATTGTTCCAATAATCAAGTTGTTGGAAGAGATTCAATTACAAATCTTATATATCACATACTAATATGCCCCTTAAATATTACGAAAGTATACTCATATGAGTTTGAAGTTTGCACAAGTTCAGAATACCATGTGCTTTAACAAATGTGGTCATCGTAATTCGTACAAAAGACCTCTCTTTTACAACAGACTTTAATACCATGTCAAAAACAATTGGTCCCAATAATTCGAGTAGTTGGAAAATATTCAATTGTGAAAATCATATATGTTGTAATAATACTTCACTATACAGGTGCTGGAGCACATGGCGAGTGGCGTTTCAGAGCTGGAAGAGATGGTGGCGAAGAAAGGAGGGGATTACTACAAAGCTACTTCCGACGCCGGCGCCGGATTTCCCCTTCACGAGAAGAGCTACAAAGCTGCAATGGAAGATGATGATGGTGAAGTGACGAAGAAGAAGATGATGAATGTGAGCATTACTGCTAGTGGGAGGTTGCAGACGGTGATAACGGACGAATGGGAGGTGTTTGATGATGATAACGATCAAGATTCCGTCGGTAATTACGGCGATTTGTTGTCGTTATGTGACGTTGGGTCGTCGCCGCCGACGAATCCATTTGAGATGCCGGACGATCAGCTGATGGATCTGCTATCTACTCTGCCCACGCCAACTCATGAACAATATCAGCTTTGTGTTTATAAACAAGATGAGCTACCTGATTTGATTAGTTTCTAATTAAATTGGTTTGATTAATTGTTATTAATTAGTTGCCAGGCCAGTGCTGCAACCGAAGAGATGTTCAGCTTCATCATTGGTTAATGAATGATGTACATTTTGGCTGGATCAGATCAGTTTTGGTTCTTCTTCAATCTCTGTCTCCCTTTTTTTTGGCTTTGCTCCATCTTTGTTTTGATGGGATTATAAAAGGATAATAAATAAAAAAACTTCTAAAAAAAGATTATCTTAGATTATCAAGGGCTTGTTTGTCTGAATCTATTATATATGTGCAGTATTATAGTAGACTGAGAACGACAATTAAGAAAACTAGGGAGATTAATTAGTGGTCTCTTCTTGAGCTTAACCTCTTCAGTTTCTAAATGGTGAGCAAAGTTTTTTTTTTTGTGGGAACAAGATTTATTATCGTTTCATGTGTTGATAGCAGGGTTGCCAGATTGGTTTGGTTAACCAAATCATTAACTGTTGGAATAAATGTATCCGTTGTTATGGAATTAGGTTCCAAATTTTTGACCATCTCCTCTCGTGTGTTAGTAAACGGTATATGATCCACGATTGAACCTCTCCCAACAACTCTGGTTATTGGGATCAACTGATTCTTGACATGGTATCAGAGCCTTCTGTGACCGTGAGGTCTTTTGTTCGATTCTCGGTGACCCCCATTTGTTTCTGTTAAAGCACACGGTGTCCGGACCTGTGCCTGTCCAAACTCCAAGCCTATCCGAATGGCTTGAGTTTGAAGGGGGGTGTTAGTAAACGGTATATGATCCACGATTGAACCTCTCCCAACAACTCTGGTTATTGGGATCAACTGGTTCTTGACATCGTGGTCATAAAAAGCTAATATGCTAGGTCGTTGCTCAACGGATAAAAGTTACTCTAGGGATAACAGGCTGATCTTCCCCAAGTTCGCCCGTATGCACGAAAAATCAAAAACCAAATTTGGAAAATTGGCAAAAATCATAATCGTTTAGACTAGTCTTGTCGGTAATTGATCAAATGAAAATCAATAACTCTCTTAACAGTTTTCGGTCGATTTGAATAAACCAAAAAATCTAACTCATAATTTGCAAAGTCCAAAACTGGAGCCAAAAAAGACAACAAGAAGTATGAAAATAGAAAAGAAGTCCACTGCACATAAGTTGGTAACAATATGTGTTGTTGAGGGATATTTACTTAATTAGGATGTTGTCTGATTTTTATTGAGTCTTTGGTTTTAACGGAAACCAAACCCATTAAAATGCTAAATAATTTTAAAACTGAAACATCAAAACCATTAAACTTCTTATCGATTTTTCACATTCACAGCCTGGCAGGTCATAATCCAAATTGTACCTCATGTAAGATTATAGTCAGGGTTTCGATAACAATCTCACTTGGCAAATTAAATGGCCCATACACTTTGCAACTGGGACCAGCAGGAGACTTGGTTTTCTAGACTTCTAATTTTCTTATTAAACCAACTTCAGATACCTGTACTATTTCAAACTGGTAATGAAATAATACAGGTTTTTTTGATAAAAAGATATTAGGATTATAGTTAAGGTTTTCTATATCCACCCCTTTAGTCAAAAATTTATTTGAGCAGTAGAGTATAACCCATTTAACTAAATGGTTTAATTATAGTATTGTTCAAAATGAGTGACCCACCTATTATTAGTAAATAATTTGCTTAAAAAATTAGTAAATAATTCCCTAAAAAAATTATTCATTAACTAGGCATTGATGAGAATCAGTTCATTCTAATAATTTGTTATTAGGATGTTCAAATAGATAAATTTATATAATTTTCTCATACGCTATCTCAAACCAAAATCAATCTATAGCCTTGTAGTTTTGCACAGATCCAATACGCCTTATGTTCAAATAAACTATTAAATTCTTGAAGATGTGAGTATCCGGCTCCAATACCTTTTGTTCAGGTTCATATAACATGATGATAATAACGAATTCATTTCGTTAACGAATCCATTTTTTTCTAGTATTCTCAATTACCTCCTTCAAGAAATTATTTACTAAAGGAGAATAGTTTTCACAGCTCTTCGGGAGAGTACATATTTCCTATTATGCAAGGGTTTGAAGTATATAATCTTCTCATAGCCCTAAACGAAATACGAAAAAATAAAAGACTCGCAGAATCATATACAAACATACAAAAGTGAAAAGCCCATATAGCATGATGATAATAACGAATTCATTTCAATAAAATGTCTCAATTTAATATTTCGACTGGACATGGGGTGGAAAGTATGAAATGGGTGGCTTAATGTGGTGTTGGTGTGGGAGGAATCTTATTTATTTGCCTCATCTCATTCAACTTTCACTATTAGGGAAGGTCGATCCACAATTCCACATTGCTCTTTTTCCCTTTGGTTTGCTTTTCTTTTTCTATAGGGTTCACCTTTTCATGCCTCTCCCCATCTCTTTATCCCCTTATTGCCTGCTTTCCTTTCACACAATCTTTTCCACCTATTGGAGGAGCCGTCTCCTTCTTTCCCTCCCCTCTCTCAGGACTACTGGGAGTTCACTTCAGTCTCTGCAATGAGTAGTTTGGGGAGAAGGCAGGTGGAGGGCAGCAATGGTGGTTTAGAAGAAGAAGAAGAAGAAGAAGAAGAAGAAGAAGAAGAAGAAGAAGAAGAAGAAGAAGAGGTGTGGCCGGTGGAACATCCGATGGAGCCAATGGATGAAGACCGTCCTGTCATATGCCCAATTCCTACATCTTCTCTTCTTCCTCAAGTAAGCCATCTTCCCTTTTAAGTTGGAGTTGGTAAGTTTAAACTAGTTGGTGCTTTCAAGTAGTGTGAATCAGCCAACACTCATAATAATGGTATGTAGATGGGTCATTTTGAAACTAGACGTTGCAAACTTGTGGTCTTTATTGCCCGGTAAATTTCCTTTGAGGTCTCACCGCTAAGGTTTGAGCAATGGTGCAAACTTTTCGATGGAGATTGACGAAAGCGATCATTTTGTTACAAAATTTCGAAACTACATTGTTATACCGTGTTGGAAGAAACAAAACTGAGTGCACAACCACTTTATACACGTATGAAAAGATATCAAGAGACTCTTTTAAATAATTACTCGGTAGATTAAATTACAATTCTCTTCTTAGGCCACTGTTTGACTTGTGTGTCGTATTGTTTTAACCGGGACCTATTATATGCAGGAAGGAAGAAGTCGTGGTCAAAATAAGAAGGTGGAAAGTTGGAGAAAGAGAGCAGGGAATCCAGTGGCAATGGTAGCAATGCCGATTATGATAAATAATGATATGGATAGGCTCGAAGTGGCAGAGGCCGATCAGAGTATTGGAGTAGTTCGTAAGCGTCATCATTCACATATCAATAAGAAGGTGTATCAATTTGATTATCTTCGTAATCACCATTCAGCTGGTGAAGATGGATTGAGAAGAATGGCGACTTCACCTCTCCCATCAAACAACAATGTTGCTAATACTATCTTTCATATGCTTCGACATGCTCATTAATTAGTTGTTCGTTTTTCTCAATTTTACTCTTAGTTCCCCACTTTTTACTTCTAAGAGGTATCCCCTGGCTCCAAGGTTTTGAATATAAGTGATTGCGTAAGAAGAATAAATTACAAAATTATTGTTAATGAATATAGCGTTTGAACTTTACCTGGATAATTTTTTTTTCAAAACAAACTTACTTTACTCTCAAGATATTGAGTACTGATGATGCAGTGATGTTAGAAGTTTATGTGAACTCTTATGAGTAGAGAATCCAGATAATCGACTTCACAGGTTGAGATTAACACATGTTGTACCAGTACTTATGGGATTAGGTAAGGTACCCATGGTTGGGGGTGAAAAAGAACAAAAAGCACAATGAATCCATATACATTAGTAAAGTTTAGTGGCTAGTTTGTACCTTTATAAAAATTAGCAACCAGTTGAGGGACAGACTGAAAGTCCAGTGACTAATATCGCATTTTGTCATTTATATATTTTTCATTCGGGTAAATGCCATGTTTAGTCACTGGGTTTATTAAAATATGTCATGTTTAGTCACTGAAAAAAAATTAATATCAATGTTAGTCACTCGAATTAGTAAAACGGTCCACGTTTAGTCACTCTCCGTTAGTCTCCTTTGACACCATTAGTCAAATGCTTAGATGGCTAATAGAAGTGCTGACTCACCCTTTTTTAACTCACCACATCACCAAACTCCACCCGCCACGTCACTCTACCCGCCATGTCATCTTTTCCAACCCAATCCTTAAATCCAATCAACCTATGAACCGAACTATCTATCCCTCTCTGTCCTCTTTGCCTGTTCCTCTCTCCTATTCAACCTTGCATCAACATCAGAGACAACGAACAAAAACCCAATATGACGAACGCAGATTGAACAAGAACCATAACCTGGACAAGCAAGTAAGCAACTAACACAGTAATCCAAAAAACATGACACCTTCTACATTTCCCCTAATCTATAAATCCCGCCATCTAGCTCCTCCAGTTTCCGTCCGAGGCACCACCTCCCCTGGAAGAGTAGTGGGAACCGCCATCACTGCCGCCTCCGTAACCACCACCCCCATAACCACGGTCCCGACCACCACCGTATCCACCGTTACCACGACTGTATCCACCGCCGCCACCGCCTTCGCGTGTCCCACCACTCCTGAAACCACCGCCACCAGAGCGGGACTGAGCCTCGTTGATGGTGATGTTACGGCCGTCGAGATTCTGGCCGTTCATCCATTCGATCGCGTCCTTCATCGCCTGCTGGTCCCTGAAGGTCATGAATCTGAATCCACGGGACCTGCCTGTCTCCCGATCGTTGATAACCTGAACATAATTACACACACAAACGAAAGGTTCACAGATTTGTCAGATCTAAACACAATTCATAGTTCAGATGCGGAAAGAGAAACACAACCGAAATTTAGAATTCGCACAGAAGAAAAACCGAGTTGAAAAAGTGATGGTTTTGAGGAGAATTTAGGGTGATTCTTTTTCTTAGGGTTTTCCGGTGGGCGCATTCTTCGCTGGGGGAATGGAGAAGAGGAGGAGATCCAGCGAGCCGTCGTTGTGTCTGATTTTGATGCAAGGTTGAAGAGGAGAGAGGATCAGGCGAAGAAGAGAGAAAGGGATAGATGGTTCGGTTTATAGGTTGGTTGAGTTTAAGAATTGGATTGTGTGACATGGCGGGTTGAGTGACGTGGTGGGTCGGATTTGGTGATGTGGCATGTTAAATAAGGGTGAGTCAGCACTTCTATTAGCCACCTAAGCATTTGACTAACGGTGTTAAAGGAGACTAACGGAGAGTGACTAAACGTGGACCGTTTTACTAATTCTAGTGACTAACATTGATATTAAATTTTTTCAGTGACTAAACATAACATATTTTAGTAAACCCAGTGACCAAAGTTGGTATTTACCTTTTTCATTCCCCTGCAACCCCCGAGCCCTGGCCAGAGTCGCCAGACCAAGTGACCAACTCACCACCAAGCTTAGCCAAAGGAGATTACCAGAAAGAAACAAAGTGGATAATTGGAAAGGTAAGGTTTAGGGAGGGTTTTAAGTCGGCTGCTGTCCACTCCAATCTCCATGAACAACTCATCACTTCAATTCTTCTCAATCTCTTCCCCCTCCCCATCTCCTCTCGTCTTCTATCCCTCTGAATTGCATTACACCTTCTCCATCTTATTTGATGTCCAATTCTAAACCCCCTTTTCTCTCTTTAAGAGAAATCGATCACTTCATCTTCTTCAATACAACGCCGTCAGTTCTCTCTCCATCCCCGCCGGTATCGCCCACAGTTATGTGGAGAAACGGAGCCAAACATACCATTTGCAAAACCCAGAGAAGTGCATTGAGTTCTTCGGCTTCTTTCTCAAATGCCTGCAGCTTCCAAAGCCTCTCGCTGGGCCGGAATTTTTCTGTAAAATCCAAACTTTATCCGATAAATATATTGAATCCCCATCTGGGTTTGTGTCCCAGAGGTGAAATTCCGCGCAAGGATAACGATAGTGGCCTGAGATGTGTCCCTTTGTTGCCGAGAGGGTTTTCCTGTGGTGGGTTTTATCCGAGAAGCTATGCGAGCGTAGCGGAGGCAGTTTCGTCGCATACGGATTTAGAAGAGGATGTTTCTTTCACGGAAGAGGTGCAAGAGTTGGTTCAGGAATTGAGGAAGGAACAGCGGAAGGAAACTGCGAGGAAGAGATGGGAAAGGATTGCGCCTGGAATGGGATGGAGGAAGTATGAGATGTTGAAGAGAAGGCAGGTTAAGATTGAGACTGAAGCGTGGGAAAGGGCAGCTAATGAGTACAGGGAGCTTCTCAAGGAGATGTGTGAGCACAAGTTGGCTCCCAATTTGCCTTACATGAAAAGTTTGTTCCTTGGTTGGTTCGAGCCCTTAAGGGATGCAATTCATAAAGAGCAGGAGTTAATTAGACAAGGGAAATGCAGGGCAGCCTATGCCCCATACTTCAATCACTTGCCCGCTGACATGACTTGTGTTATCACAATGCATAAGCTTATGGGCCTTATGATGACAGTTGGGGAGCATGGATCAGCTAGGGTTGTTCCTGCTGCTATTACGATTGGAGATGCCATTGAACAGGAGGTCGGTGATTGTAAAAATTGGTTCTTCATTTGATATGCTGTTATATGGTTGGAACTTTCTTGGTTTATTTGATGCAAGCCTCCTTTTTTATTACGAGGCAGATCAGGATACACAACTTCTTGGAGAAAACGAAGAAGAAGAAGGATGCCAAAGTTGAGAAACGTGAAGGGGATGAATCTGGTGCGGTGGAGAAGGAGCAAGAGAAGTTGAGAAGAAAAGTTACTGAATTGATTAGGAAACAAAAGTTGCCAGCTGTTAGACGAATTGTGAAGGATTATGATGAATCAAGACCTTGGAGCCAGGAAGCTAAGGCTAAAGTCTGTTATCTTCTTATCCACGGTGCAATGTATTTCTGTTTCTTTCTTATTCATACATGATAGAGCGCTGTCTTATACCTCCCTCAACTACATTGCAGGTTGGGAGCCGCCTGATTGAATTACTCATACATACTGCATATATTCAACCTCCTGCGGATCAATTATGTGAAGGTCCTCCTGATATTCGACCTGCATTCATACATACTGCCCTAAGTATCACCAGGGTGGACAAGTATGTTCTCATGCTTGTTTATGTTGCCTTTAATGGGTGTATATTATATCCTTCATTTTTTCTACTTAACCATGCTTTTATGCCTTGTTTCAATAGGAAGACAAGTAGAAGATATGGTGTCATTAAATGCGATCCAGTAGTTCTTAAAGGGCTTGAAAGAAGTGTGAGTCATGCATCTGTCTTTCATTTTCTTTTTCTTTGGTAATATGTGGTTGCTACGTATTCTTAGCTGTTGTCTGAACCACTCCTGGAGTAGATGATATTGTTTCCCTGCGGGATAGTTGGTAAAATTTGTTTATGTTCACAGGCAAGGCACATGGTGATACCTTACATGCCAATGTTGGTGCCTCCTGTCAAATGGATGGGGTAAGTGATGTTCTATGTCATCATGACCCTGCGGCTTTGATGATATGTTGTCTGGTTCTGTTCGCAATTAAACGTAGTTCATGTCACTCATACCTAGAGTGATTTTTTTTGGAAGTTTGGACCTGATAAGAAGCGATATGTTTTAACAAATTTTTGACTTGGGGCATAAGTTAAAGCACAAAGGGACACTAACTAGTTAGCTGATATGTCATACATCTATCGCTGATTTCAGTTGTGCAATGTACAAGAAACACAAATGGGCCTAGTTAGATTTCAATGAGAGGATTATAGTTAGATTTCAGTAACCATGACAAATATATTCTGGTAAAGGCATAAGCAACAGAAAAAGCTTTATTCTTGGCACTTATGTACAACCTTTGTCAAGTCCTACACTTATAATTTTTGTCCTTTTGCTTTACGTTCTATAGTTGTATGTGTGATTTACAAAAGAAAAACGTATTTATTTCTTTTGGTGTTTAGGTCAGCTAAAGTATGAACATCCTACCTTGACCTTTGACATGTAAAGAAGGGAAGTAGGGTGGTTGAGGAAAGACAATTACAATGTATTCGACTTTCATTTATGTATTGTTCATTCTGTACCAACCCAGACAGTATACAATAACTTTAGTTTTTACTGTGCCCAGTTTGTGGGAGAAGTTCAGGCTCTTTATATTTGTAGTCCATAATTGGTTGCTGAGGGAGTGGAAGGAACCCTTTAAGCTTCTTTGTTGAATTGTGTGTCCCTTTAGTTCTTTTATAGTTGAAGCAGCATATAAGTGTTACCTGTATCATATGATCCTCTTTAAGTTTTAGATTCTTTATATGCATTGCATTTATCTCAGTTTGGTTCAAGGCATTCTGTATACTCTTGCCAGGTATGACAAGGGAGCTTATTTTTTCCTACCTTCCTACATCATGCGTACTCATGGTTCCAAACAGCAACGTGAAGCAATGAAACTTGCATCAAAGGCCCAGTTAGAACAAGTTTTTGAGGTTTGTGAGCTATCATGTATACTGGCATGCTGTTTTGATTTTATATGCTATATTAGTGATCTGCACAATCAGGTAATAATCATTTGTCTGGGTGAAATTAGGCCTTGGATACACTTGGGAGTACTAAATGGAGGGTAAATAAAAGAGTACTTGATGTTGTAGATAGAATATGGAACAGTGGAGGTCGTCTTGCTCATTTGGTGGATCGAGACGATGTGAGTATGCTACATGTTAAGATTTTAGCCATAATCTGTTTCATCCCACTGGTGCGGTCAATGAAACCATTGTCAAAAATTTACTGCGCACTGAAGATTTCTTCTCCAATTTGTTTATCACAGGTTCCTTTACCAGAGAAGCCTGATACAGAAGATGAAACTTTATTAAAGAAATGGAAATGGAAACTGAGAAATGCGAAAAAAGAGAACCGGGAGCGGCATTCCCTCCGCTGTGACACAGAACTCAAACTTTCTGTAAGAGCAACCTGATTACATGTTTTGAGTACCATTTAAGCTTAATGTGACTACTTCATTATGTCTGTGTTATTTGGGCTCAGGTAGCACGCAAAATGAAGGATGAAGAAGGTTTCTATTATCCACATAATGTTGATTTTCGAGGACGGGCATACCCCATGCATCCTTACTTGAACCATCTTGGTTCAGATATGTGTCGAGGCATTTTGGAATTTGCAGAAGGCCGTCCTCTTGGGAACGTGGGTTTGAGATGGCTGAAGATACACTTGGCAAACCTGTATGCTGGTGGTGTGGATAAGTTGTCATATGAAGGTCGAGTAAGTTTTACAGAGAATCATTTGGATGAAATATTTGATTCAGCGGACAAGCCACTAGAAGGAAACCGCTGGTGGTTACGTGCAGAAGATCCATTCCAGTGCTTGGCAGCTTGTATTAATCTGAGTGAAGCTTTGAGAAGCTCCTCTCCGGAGACCTATGTTTCATATCTTCCCATCCATCAGGTATTTCATCTGCATATTGGCAGTATTTATTTTAGCTTTTGCTAGAATTTAGATAAATTTGAGTTGGTGGAATACAATATATTATTTAGTAATAATATAAGAGTAGTTGATGAGATTGTAAATAATTTGTTGAATTGTAAAACCGTGTGGATTTTGGAAAATGACTATTGTGGATGAATAGCTTCCTTTTCAAAGAGTTCAAGTCCTACTGTAATCGTTTCAGTGAGGTGTCTTTCATATTCTAATTATTGTGAGATCTGATGTGAATATTTGTTTTATATTGAAGAACTTTATTCTTGTCATTGCAGCATGCAAATACTTCCAGTTGACACTTAGGATAACTGAAATAAGTGACCGAATAAGAGATCTCATCTTTGTGTTGCTTTGTGGTAAAGATATGCAATATTACTATATCCAGTCCAAATAATCAACTGTAATTCTGTAATGTTTTTCTTTTTTTAATTTCTTGTACTTCTATGCTTTCATAAGTTTGTTTCTTCATTTCAATAATGTGAAGTTTATAACTTGTCTGTAGGATGGCTCGTGCAATGGTTTACAACATTATGCGGCACTTGGAAGGGATACGGTACTGGCTATCTCATTGTTTTTAGGAGATGCATAATCTGAAACCAGATATACACAATGAATTAAATTTGCTATGGAACTTCCACTTTGTATGGCTCATTCTTCATTATCCATGACAACTTTGTTCAGCTTGGAGCAGCTGCTGTTAATCTGATGGCAGGAGAAAAGCCAGCTGATGTCTACTCTGGTATAGCTGCAAGGTAATCTTTTTCTGATGTAATGCCAATAAATGGGCTGCAATGGTCATTGTATTTCAATTTTTCTGGCACTGCTAATCTTGACCGGTCAAGTGACAGTGCATCTGAAATTTAAAACTGAGGGTTTTTTTTGCAAGAGTTTGCTTAGATCCAACACTAAGATGAAAGTAAATTGTTCATTGCAGAGTTCTTGATATCATGCGGGAGGATGCACAGAAAGATCCCACGAGCTTTCCCGATGCGCTACAAGCAAGGGCATTACTTGACCAGGTTCTCTACAATAAATAGTTTTGCAGAACTGCCTTCGCTAAACTGAGTTGTTTTCTGCTCCATGTTGGAAAATTTGTTTTTCCTGTCTCCTCATCACTTTTGAATGGATTTCCTAATTGGTTACCTCTTCAAACGACACTAGTGGGCCCATGTCTTTTGCTTGATGAACTAAGTCAATATGTTGAGCAAAATATTTTCATTTGTCTTTCAAGCTAATGTTTCTCCCTGGTTCATGGCAAACATTCTAGGTGGATCGGAAGTTAGTGAAGCAGACAGTGATGACATCAGTATATGGTGTTACTTATATTGGTGCCAGAGATCAAATCATGAGAAGGTTGAAAGAACGAGGCACTCAGCTAGATGATTCACAGACTTTTGGTGCCTCTTGCTATGCAGCTAAAGTAAGGAAGAATATGCTAACTTCGAATCATCTTTGAAGCATGAGCTAACTGCGCATCTCACTGGCACTCTTCAAATTTTGGTGACTAGGTGACATTAACCGCTTTAGAGGAGATGTTTGAAGCTGCAAGAAGTATAATGAGCTGGCTGGGTGAATGCGCAAAGGTGTCTATTTCCATCTCTGTGAAACTATCATGGGGGTTCACTGTTTTCTATTCACTCCTTTAATTTACTTTTGCATTTTAAATTTTCTTGGAACTTGATTTTCCCCCAGATTATTGCATCAGAAAACCAACCAGTGCGGTGGACAACTCCCCTTGGACTTCCTGTTGTGCAGCCTTACAGGAAATTAGGGCGGCATCTAGTGAGTTACCTAAAACTTGAAAATTGTAGACTTCTATGTCTTGATAAGTCTTTTTTCTCATTTTGGAGATATCCTGGGTGATTGAACCCATCCATGATGGAATTGGGGTTACCATACCACTAAACCACAAGGGCTCCCCCATGAGATAATTTTCATTTTTCAATTGATCTCATTTCCAAATCCTTCCTATTTAGATACTGGGATGGGCGTGATTCCGTATGGGGCCTTAATGTTACCCTTTCTCCGTATCGCAGATCAAAACATCCCTCCAGATCTTAACGCTACAACGTGAAACTGAGAAGGTAATATTACCAAGATATGGTAACAAAAATGATGGGAAGATTGTAAGCGGACTGTTTGGTTCTCTTGATTACAGAAATCCTCAAACCTTAGCTTTTTCACTTTGTTAACCAGGTCATGGTGAAGAGGCAAAGAACAGCTTTCCCACCAAATTTTGTGCACTCCCTCGATGGTTCGCATATGATGATGACTGCCATCGCCTGCAAAAGGGCAGGCATGAACTTTGCAGGTATATAGAATTCTGGTGATTTGAATTAGGCCACCCGGCATCCTTCATCTGTTTGTCATTATTGGTCATGCCTGATGTGGTTACAGGGGTCCACGATTCATTCTGGACGCATGCATGTGATGTGGATAAACTGAACACGATACTGAGAGAGAAATTCATCGAACTCTACGATGCCCCAATTCTAGAGAATGTAAGTTTTCCTACAGCCACATGAACAGCTCTTTCTTTCTCATACCAGTAATCTTATTTTCATCTGTGTGCAGTTGCTGGAGAGCTTTGAGGAGTCGTCTCCTACGTTAACTTTTCCTCCTTTGCCCGAAAGAGGAGATTTCGATCTAAGAGAGGTTCTGCGTTCGACCTATTTTTTCAACTAGCCTGAGGCAAAGCATACGATCATTGGTGTACATTGAGTGAATAGAATAACAGAAGACGACCTATCCATCCTCAAGCACTCCACCGAGGCTCTCTATTGGCTGGTGGCAGATCGAGAAGCTGCACAATGGTTCTGTTGCAGCTGAGGCCACTGAGTAAAAGCTTGTGCTGAACGAGGGCACTGTTTGATTATCTGTTGTGGTGTTGTGAAGACGGTTGCAATGCAATCTCAGAAAAGCATTGGTGGAAGGCAAATGTGGAGTGCATAGTATGCCAAGTCTGACCCTTTCCAGGATTCATCACGTTTTAATCTGGTTGGTTGAATATGTCCCAGCAATGTAAATAACTTCATGTGGAGATAAGATACTAAGGCCTTTTCCTGAATATAAACAAAACGGTTGAGTCCCTAATTGTCTCACAGAAGTCACAAATAACATTGTAATTTGTAAAGAAATTTTTGAAGTAACAGTTAGTTAATTACTGCTACCAACCTTACAAACTGAAGTTGTATATCTTATTATCCAGGCCCCTTCCAGCATTATCTCATATATTCAGATGGCGGTACAAAGAACTAGTAACAAAATTTCTGTACAGGCTTGTGCTAAGCTCCTAGTTCTGGTACAAACTATGACAATGAAAGCATGCTTGGAGCGCTTGTTCCTCTTATGTGTTCTCTTTTCCATTGCCGACCATATTCGCAGAACTCGGATGATGTCACTTCCTCAGCTTGCCGAATGCAGCTGCGGCCTCTTGGTAAAATATGCGACCAGTATACTTTTAAACAGCACCAGTTCCTCGGTTCCTCTTAGTATCCATATCTATCATTCAAAGATGTCCGTCCATCACCAGATTGTCCTACATAAGAAAACATGCATGAAGTTTCAGTAAGAGAGTGGATACCAGCTTTAAGAACATTTGCCTCCATATCAACACTAATGCCAACTAGCAGCAATGCGACAAGGGAAGAAATGACTTCACTAACCTTGAGGTGGCACCCATAGCTCCTTCGCAGAGTCTCCCTGAAGAAAAGATGGTTTCTGAGGGCCAAGAGTTCTTTTTGACCTTTTGATATCATGGCTATCACCAGAAATCAGTTGGCTTTCTTGTTTTGCTTCCTCATCTTCCAAATGGTATCCCTTTTCGTGTTTCAGTAATAGAGCAACAGCATCTTCCGCCTTGAACTTGGGTCCAATTTGAGATGATGATGATGATGATGATGGCTGCTCATTAGGACCTTCCCCTGCCGTTTCCTTGCGCTTTCTTATGATAAGGCCAGGAGCAGCACCTTCAATATCTGAACTTGAAAACTTACTATCAGGAGCACTGTCGCCAACATTCTGCAAGATTTTTTGCCTATCTTTGTAATCTACAAACTGACTAGGTTCATCCACATTGATGACTTCTTCCTTGGTCTCTTTCACTTTCTGGTCATTCACAGCACCAAGCCATTGGGGTTTCACAACAGCATAGGGAGTTGCTGTCCCTGTCCCCACAGGCGCATGAACAGCAATCTTGTCAGCAGCTTCTTCTTTGGTGTTTGATTCTTTGAGTGGAGCAGCGTTGCCATCTTTGGCTTTAGCAGCTGGTCGAATGATTGCCTTCTCTGACTTGCTATGTTTGTTCACCTCCATAGTAGGGCTGGTTTCAGTCGAGGCAGGCGATATTTCTGTTTTAACGGGTGCTGCTTTCCCCTGTGTCTTATTCAAGTCCCTTTTCTTAGCAGCCTCACCCGAAGGGTCAGAAAGCTTCAGTAGGTACATGACTCTATCTAGTTCAGACTTAAGGCCTGCTAGCTCCTTCTCAAGTTTTTGAGTCTTGTCAAGCACTGGAAAACAACATGTCCAGAATCAACAGTCACAGTCAACACAAAATGACACCTGCAACAAATTGCAGACTAGATAATCATAGAACAAATAATCCAAAATGCAGTATCTCTTACCTAGCTGAGATGATAGTCCGGACATGTAAGCATCAAGTTCGTCTGCAGCTTCAGTTTGTCCACCACTTTCAGATGTGATTTTATTTTTTTCTTGAAGAATAGAGTCTCTTATCTCTTCCATGTCTTTCATGATGGTATCTCGCTTATCAAGCAAGCTATCAGCAGTCTCAACAGATTGAGTTTCCCCAGCCTTTTTTGTTAGAGGCTTCTTTGTCCGGTCATAGAAATCATCATCATCACTGTGCAAACACATTACAAGCATCAGCAGCCATCATTAAGCATCATGAAATAAAGGTTAACATTTTCAGTATCATTAAGCACCTGGAGTATAGTTCATCCTCTTCTGTTCCTTTTTTGCCACGGTAAATCCCTCCCGAACGAGCACCAAGGCTTTCACGGATACTTTCATTTAAAGTCTCCTCTAAGCTTTCCAGCTCCTCCATTAGCTGTTATGAATAATAAAAATAATGATAAGCTTCTTAAGAAGGGAAGGACGAACAAATGGCAGAACCAAATCATTAGAGGATGACTCTTTACCTGAGTAATTCTTAATTCATTGCGAGCAATCTGTGTTTGCTGACCTTGCGTCAACCCACCTTGACCAATATCTTTGGCACGAATAGCGTCTATTTCTTTCTTCATATGTGCAATCTGTTTACATATGTAAGAGGCAGACAGTGCTCACAAAATCAGAGGAACATAGTAGAAAGATATGAGAAACTCCAAAGAGCCCAAATATACCATTAAGTACGTAAGAAGAGTAGTAAGCCTAGGAGTGAAACCATACAGTACCTTTTCATTTCGTTTTATGACTTTATCATGGGTCTTAGCTTGCTTTTCTGTGAGCTGTCCTTTGTAGGTTTGCCAAGTTACTTCATCAGTATCATCCTGCACATAAGATGTAACATTAGTTAGTTACACAGGCGACGGCCGTGTTTATGGTGCAATAATTTTAAGTAGTAAATTCCAGGGGAAACACAGAACAGGAGCCATAACCGATTGCAGACCAATCGGCAGGAGAGGCTTAGGAGCATGGGAAAACTTCAAGAACTCTTTTCTTAGAAGGTGCCATGTTGCATACTGAAATGACCACATATTATCCCAGAACAGACATAACAAGCTGAGGACCATTATCAAATTTCTCCTAACAAGCATACAGCATTTGCTGCAAAATAGCCAATTACTAAAATGAACCAGACATTATGGACACACGTTTGGGCAGGAATAAGTAAGGGCCTACTGACCTCAGCTTCTTCAATAGCATCTTCATCCATGCCCCAGGAGATACCATCAGCAAGAGATGCTTCCATTCTCGCTCGGTGAACTGAAGCTTCTCGATCTAGCATATCTTGGTGGGCCCGAGCATTTCTAAGGACTTTGCGGTTAGCTTCCTACAGATATTAGAGCAGTTGGGTAAAGGCTCAATACTTGACGTTCGGCAATCAAATCTCCAATGTGAAGTACTAACTCATTACTCTTTTCTTCTGAAAGTACTAACTCATTACTAGTACAACAAGATGAAAATTATATCCAGCACAAAACTAAGTATACAAAATATATGATAACAAACATGATACATATCATACTCAGGATGATATAAGCATATCCATAATATAGTTATTTACAAAACACTTGGATACCTACACAACTGCTTCAGAATTGAATGGAGGTTTTAGAAGATCCTTTAACTAAATGCATCAAAAAATAGGTAGCTTTCTCCATACTATGGTTAACTAAAAAAATATAAATCTTGACACTTCTGGGACAAATCTCACCGGTGGCATCAGGTCCTGTGGGCCTTGAAAAATGTACAATCGAGACGACCTGGAAGAAAGGAACATATAGAAAATCACAGGCCATAAGTATGCGGGGGAACATATAAAGACTAAGCAACATAAGCATATGTATGACTGATTCTGACAGCAACAGAGCCAGCATAAAAATATTGGTACGGATACAAATTGTTGACAAGAGAGAGACATCCAACCAATAAACATGACAATCAACAATAACTTTTTGAATCCTCGATCAACAGTTTGATTTATGATGTCCAACAGATAAAATTCAGTCCCACCTTAAAATCTTCTCCAAAACTTAGCTCAAAGTTAGACTTTTGAATTTACATAATCAACTTCAAAACAACCTTTTTAGAGAGTAATTGTAACAAAATTAGGACAGAAACAGTGCACACGGAATAAAGTTGAGATACAAATTACTCACTGGCCAAAGCGAATGACATCACCTACGCGTAAAGCAACATGAACTCTTTTCTCCACCTGCTCAAACCAAAAGGAAGGTGACGTGAAAGCCAAAGAGAGAAGGGATTATATAAGATTCTTAAGCACCAACAGTTGCATGGAAAAGCACCTAAGCATCCAAAAGTGAGACGGAGGAGGAAGGAGGCAGAGTTTTTAAACATAACTACAAGGCCGTTTGTTTGCTCTAGAAAGTAAAACATTAACATCCTCTACATGTTAAGTGAACTGGTGAACTAATTTACCTTTCACTTCTCTTTTCTCAGTATGACGACATCAACCAACACAATACTTAGTTCCATTGGTTTCTTGGCACTATGCATCAATAGAGGGCTATGAACGGCCTTTGGAGTTAGTTAATTCAATACTTATATGAAGCCTTGTCATTAGGTCTTAAATATGCTACCCAATCAATAGCCCAGACAAAAGGATCCAAACTGGACTCCCATGATAAAAGGTTGATTGGTAGCAATGTCAATTAATAACACATACAAATTAATTAAAGGTTATTACCTGACTCTTGTTAATAAAAGTACCGTGGGTGCTCCCTACATCATAGAGGTACGCATCTCCACTCCTTTTGAACTGCAAAACTGAATGCAAAAAACAATCAATTAAAAAGAAGACCAGCATAAGATCATCTAGCAAGTTTCTAGTTAAGCTGATCGTTAGCAAGTGAAATTTCAATAATTTAGACTTCGTAAGTGGTTGATTCAACCATTCATTTAGTGGATATAATCAGGAGTCCAGCAATACCAGTAACACAAAAGAAGAGTTGTCCTTCAGAAATACTGATATAAAAAGCCCGAAGTTAAACAAATTTATGACTGTCTCTCCTGAGATACTTCTCGAAACCGATCTTCATTTGAAACTCATGACATACATGACTCAGATTTCTGACAATTGGACTCTACTATTTCTAACTTCACTACAGAAGTTGCCTAGAAAGAGAAAAAAACAGGGCCTAGGCACCGGCATACACTTTTCTTGGCATTTCTAATGGAGCAAATGAAAGCTTTCAAATTAACAACCACTACCAAAATCCTCTCATGCAATGAAACCTAAATAACCAAAGAACATAGATTACTTACAGATATAGAAGAAGAATTGAGCTAGTACCTGCATGAAAGCGGGAGATAGTTGGATGCTCAAGAACAAAGTCACAGAGATCAACACGTCCAAACATGTAAGCTCCCTTCTCACAGCTGCATTCGTTTAGGGCAACACCAATAAGGGCAAGAAGAGTACCATATACAGATTATGATATACGATACACTCTAGTCTATAGCGAGTGTTAGCTGAGCACTACATTGTCATTGTGGGACCGAAGAGAAACACATGAAAAGAAAAAAAACTCAACTGAGAAACTTACACATCGAATTGGTCAACAATGGTGCCATCTTTAAGAACCTCCAACTGGAACTTATGGCAAGGCGGACCACTCCACTCGGGAATGGTATAGGGCACGGCAAAAGGTTGCTTCTGGGCTTGTTCAGAAACCTTTGTTGCATCAGAACTGACCCTGTCTTCGGATTGAGGTACCTCCTCGGCAGGATTAGGGTTCTTGCGGGGGGCTGGCGGACCCATTGTGCTTCGCGATTCAGCAGGAGAATTTGAGTCTTGCCCATCGACGGTTAGAGGTTGAGATTCGTTCCCTGAAGTCGATGCGGTTGCAGGATCACCGTTCTGAGGAGGTGGAGGTCCCATGGCGGCGGTCATTTTGGCCGTCCGGCTATGGAACTAGGCGGAGAGCTAACCGGTTCGCAACAAGTGCTCTACGAGAACGACTGACTCGAGGGTCAGAATTTTTTTTGTTAATTAACTGTTCTTTTATTTTTTTGATTAACTGTTCATTTTTAGAGGGAAACTATTGTCTTTTCTATTTCGGTTTCTTGGTTTTGGTATTTTTCCCTTTTGCCCCCAAAATTTGAGCTACATTTGGAGAACGGGAAAAGAAAAACTTACTGACAAACAGCTCCAAGGACGGGCTCCTCTTTCTAGGGACCAATCTGCGCTGGTCAAATCTCTTTCCGTCTGTATTCCTCGTCCGCCAACGTGGCTGAATAGAACATCCTTTGCTGTGCTGTGATTGATTTCGCCGATTGCTGGTTTCTCTCTCCCCTATGCTTCTGATTCTGCCTTCTAGGTATCAAAAGAACCAACGGTAATGGCGGTTTAGGTGCTTCTGTAGTTAGGGTTTTGGTAAATTTCCCGAGAAGAAATGAAAGGAGGCAGTGCTGCGAAGCTGATCGTTGATGCGCTTCTGCAGCGGTTTCTCCCACTTGCTCGGCGCCGTATCGAAACGGCTCAAGCTCAGGTCAGTGCACTTCTGTTTCTACATTTGTTTTCGACTTGCCGATCCAAATTCGTCGTCAAATTTGCTCATCAGAAAACCACCCGGGCGGTTGCTGGTACTGGAACTGGATTACCCTCAATGACAATGATATGTTCTTAGTTTCCTTCCTCTCAGGCTCTCACTAGTAGTGCCTTATGTCTGGTACCCTTGCCGCAATGCCCCCCGTCCCGTTTGCTCTGCAGATTATCTGTTTGCGAGCTTCAAAATTATAGGGGAACATGCCAATTTTCAGTTCCATGTATACTCATTACAATGCAAGTTGGTAAATTGATTTCTTTTGGAAATTTGTAGGATGGGCAATACCTTCGACCATCAGACCCTGCTTATGAGCAGGTATTGGATTCCCTAGCTATGATTGCCCGGCATACTCCAGTTCCTCTCCTAGAGGCTCTTCTTAGATGGAGGGAGAGGTGTGTTCTCCTGGAAACTGAAATCCTTCTATTTGTGTATTATCTTTCGGCTTCTGTAATTCACTTTCATTCTCTCTCTACTTGAATTTTGATAAGCCAAGTAAACCTTAGTGGAGAAGAGGAATGATCATGTTGCAGAATTGGTAAAGAAAATTTGAAAAAGAGAAATTATATAACAATGCATGTGAATGTCGCCACAACTGATTCAATTGTCGTTTTTAAGCAATTCTTTAATTGACATCCTCGAATCTTAATTGCAGCGAATCTCCTAAAGGTGCAAATGATGCATCTACATTCCAAAAAAAGGTTTGTCAAGACCCAAATACTTGCATCATCATAGGAAGTGGTGGTCTTTGTGATAAAAATTTGTTATGTGAACTATTGGTCATAGTATATGTTTTGTTAGTGCAACCTTCTATGTTGTCCCACTCCTACTTCACTCTTGTTAAGGCATTTGGATGGACATATTTTCTGTCCGGAAACTTTCAAAAGACGGCTTGTAGCAACATATCGGTCATTACGACTCACATGATCTCAGTAATCAGTTTACTAAAATATTTTAGTTGGTTTTTGCTGTTAGTTATGGTACAATGGATATCGTTGGTTCTAGATTTAGCGCCTGGGTACATTAGGAGAGTTTCATGGAGGAATAGGATCTTGAGTTTTCTTATATCAAGTACCACAGCTTATGATGAACTTTGCCAAGTTTAATTTGGCTTAGCTTGAGAAGTTGTGGCTTTGCATTGGATATGCATGCAGAACATAATAAAAACTAATGTCTGTGATGTTCATTAAGCCATGCTATGTTTCGTTTGCAGTAGAATCTTGTGTTTAGAAGTCGGTATAACCATATTAGACGTCAGAATGTTATATCTTTGTCTCATTAAGTTTGTTGGTATTTCCCTTAGAGATAGCAGATTCGCTATTCACAGGAAGCATGATAGTGTGCTGTGAGGCAGATGACTAGAAATGCATCTCTTGATTTAGGAATATACTCTATGTTTGATTCACTTGATAGAGCAGAATGAAGTCAAAGGTAGTATGGGATGAGGAACTCAAGGTGGTGTATCGGTGGTATTGGTATTGGTTGTGGTCATGCTTGTCTAAGATATGTAATGTTATGTTGATTCTATGGCCGGATGCAATGGTTTTTGTTGTTCTCTTTCTGTAAATGATTGAATATGTCAATCTAGGTTGTCCTGGATTCAGTCAATAATCATAGCTATACTGTCTTATGGCAAGCATTGCCTTGGTGATACATTTGTTATCTGTCTATTTTTTTCTCTTAAACAATAATTGATTTCGAATTTAATACCCTTTTTATGCAAGCCTAGCTAGCTGTGGAGTGTATTTTCTGCTCAGCGTGTATACGATTTGTGGAGTGCTGCCCACAGGAGGGACTTACAGGTTTGTTCGAGAATGTGAATTAGTTTCTAGTTCTTCTAATATTTGGTTCTTGTGTGAAATTCCATTGCTAATTATTGTTGCAGAGAAGCTGTGGTCAGGGCTTGAGAATTTTGTGTTCGATTGGTTAATTAATGCTGACAGGTACGACTTTGGAATAGTCATAATTTGTGATCATTAATAATGTCTACAAAACCTGAATACTTCCAACAAATCCATCCCTGCATATACCTCTATGTTGTTTACTTTTTTTATTATCTGTTAGAGTTCTCTGTGAGCCTGTGTATTCCGCTTGTTACTTGTTATAGTTCGCATGAAACTATCTTCTATGAATAATAGTTCGCATAATTGATATATTTTTTTTGCAGAGTTGTTAGTCAGGTTGAATATCCCTCATTGGTTGATTTGCGTGGCCTTCTCTTGGATCTGGTTGCTCAACTCCTTGGTGCCTTATCTCGGATCAGGTAACTAAATCGTTGCATTATGACCTTGAAGGATGTTATTTCGCATGTCATTGTAAATCGTGGACAAAGCACTTGCTGAGATTTTTGCGAAAATCTGTTGTAGCATTAGTTGGTAGCATTAGTTTTTATGTAAATGTATTTTTTCCCTTGCCACAGGTTTAGCTCAGTAACTGAGCGCTTTTTCATGGAGCTAAATACACGTCGGATTGACACTAGTATGGCCCGAAGCGAAACACTCAGTATTGTCAACGGAATGCGATACTTGAAGCTTGGGGTATGTATGTCTTTACCTCTTATGTGGCTCTTGGCGAACTTCTGGTGCTGTTGTTCTTTCTCAATTTTAAGACGACAAAAACTGTTTAAAGCCTAAGGTCTGGCCAAACAGATAGCGAGGAAAGTGTGTTTGACAATTTACACACGGGCATGGGCAGGTTAAGACTGAGGGGGGCCTAAATGCATCAGCTTCTTTTGTGGCCAAAGCAAATCCTTTGAACCGTGCTCCACACAAGCGCAAAAGTGAGCTCTACCATGCACTCTGTAATATGCTCTCGAACATCCTAGCTCCACTGGCAGATGGTGGAAGAAACCAATGGCCACCATCAGGGGTACACAATGCACTTGCTCTATGGTATGAGGCTGTTGGTCGAATAAGGATGCAACTTATACATTGGATGGACAAGCAAAGCAAGCATATAGCTGTAAGTGCATCTTAGATAACCTGCGGCATGAATTTTTTTATCCTCCCCATGGTTTTGAAGAAGTGAGCAATTCTGTGCCTTAGTCCCAAGGGAGAAGCTGTGTTTGTTATCATTTGGATAAACTGACCAATTGAGTTCACTGGGGAATAAACAATTTGTCCGAGCTGATTCATAAAATTTGGTAATTGTTTAGCCTAGAACTCTTGAAAAATCTTGAAAAATGATATCTGGTCATGCTGATGCACTAGAACTCTTGGCAAACCATTTATTTTTGTAATTAACTGGGGGGGAAAATGATTGTGCAGAAATTGTGTTTACAAACAGATGTTGAAATTTTTTCACTTGAAAATAAATGAATTGTTAGTCGTAGAATATTATTCTCGTCAGACTTAAACCTAATCGTTATTAAAGGAATTCCTTGTCGGCTTTCTGCTTCTTTAGGTTCGAACCCTTGTTATTTTAGTTCTGACTAGTTTTGGTTTTTTTTTTTTGCTGGGAGACATCTTTTCGTACTTAAGGAAATGGAAACAGAGGTTAGTTAATGTAATTCAAATTAAACTTGTGTTTGGTGTCCGTAGAACTTGGATGGAAGGAGAAGGTGAAAATCCTATCAAACAGAGATCTTCTAATTTCTTAAGCTAGCTGACGTTGATTTCGAACAGTCATTGCTATATTGACAAAAGTGGGTGTGGCACGTGTTGCCCAACTTCTGCATTATCAAATATGTTGCTTCGAGTCTGAAGTCTTACTGTACTTTTGTTCCAATGCACATTCACTGATTGTTTTGACAGTTTTACATCACTTCTAATATCAAACCTTGACATGATATGTTGGCCTTCAGCATTATGTAGCCCCATTTTTGTAGCCTCACTCGCTATTAGCAGCTCTGATATTTGCGTTTTTGTTTTTTCCATTTTCCTTTTCCTTTAGGTTGGCTACCCGCTTGTTACCCTTCTTCTCTGTCTCGGTGATCCTCAAATATTTCACAGCAACCTAAGCCCACACATGGAGCAACTTTACAAGCTTTTAAAGGTAGGTTTGTTCTGGAACTTCACTCTAAGTGGCAGATGGGACAACTCTTGGTGGTCATTTCAGACACATCTAGCTCCACTATCATTTTGGCTGGACACCAAGCAGCACATTCACTGCCTTATGCGTTGCTCAATTGTGCAGGACAAGAATCATCGTTTCATGGCTCTGGACTGCCTTCATCGAGTTCTGAGGTTTTACTTGAGTGTTCATGCAGCTAGTCAGCCCCCGAACCGTATATGGGACTACCTTGACAGCGTAACTTCACAGCTGTTAGCTGCTGTAAGGAAAGGAACTCTTACGCAAGATGTACAACATGATAAACTTGTTGAGTTCTGTGTAACGATTGCGGAGCATAACCTTGATTTTGCCATGAACCATATGATATTAGAGTTGCTAAAACAGGATAGTAGTCCAAGCGAGGCAAAAGTTATTGGTCTTCGTGCTTTGCTTGATATTGTCATGTCACCTTCAAGTCCATATGTTGGCTTGGAAATTTTTAAAGGTAATGGATTACTCTTCAGTATGTTCTCTTAACTCCAGTTCACTTTCAGTTGACATTTGTTGCTTTAGCAGGACAGGATATTGGCCACTACATACCCAAAGTGAGGGCAGCGATTGAGTCAATTTTGAGATCTTGTCATAGAGTTTACAGTCAGGCACTTTTGACTTCTTCAAAAACCACCATAGGTAAGATATTTTTCCAAGTTTATGAAGGATTAAGGGCAAGAATCACGCTCTTATGAATTCTCTCCCTGCCTAGACGTGGATAGGAAGAGTATAAGTAGCATGTTAATTATAAGTCAGGTCAAGTGCTTCGACTAGTCTATTTCTTGCGGTCATATGCGTTAGAAATTCCACTGTCATATGTTATTCTATCCATGCTTACTTGAATCTTGTGCTTAATCAGATGCTGTAACGAAGGAGAAGTCCCAAGGGTACCTCTTTCGTTCTGTATTGAAGTGTATACCCTATTTGATAGAAGAAGTTGGTCGAAGTGATAAGATCTCTGAAATCATTCCCCAACATGGAATAAGTATTGATCCTGGTGTCCGAGAAGAGGCTGTACTGGTATTGAACCGGATTGTTAAGTACCTTCCTCATCGCCGATTTGCTGTAATGAGAGGAATGGCGAATTTTATCCTTCGGCTTCCAGATGAATTCCCTCTTCTCATTCAGACGTCATTGGGACGTTTGTTGGATCTCATGCGTTTTTGGAGAGCTTGTTTGATTGAGGATAGATTAGATATATCAGCTGCTGATGATACGAAGCGAGTGCCGCAGAGAAATGCAGGATTTAAAAAATCTTCTTTCCATCCGACTGAAGTGATTGACTTTCATGCATCAGACATAGATGCTGTTGGATTGATCTTTCTTAGTTCTGTAGATAGCCAGATTAGACATACAGCACTGGAGCTACTGCGTTGTGTTCGGGCCTTGTGGAATGATATAGCAGACCTAACAGTGTACACGCAGCTGGATCACAACTTGAGAACCGAACCAATATTTGTTATTGATGTCCTAGAAGAACATGGGGTGAGAGATGTATTACTTTTTTTAATTATTATTATTATTATTATTATTATTATTATTATAAATGGTGAGAGATGTATCATTGTCTATGTTCTGGAGTCCTTTTTTAATTATTATGTATGGGGCCTTTCTTGATGAATGCTTGGACTTATACACATTATAACTGCAGGACGACATAGTTCAGAGCTGTTATTGGGATTCTGGGCGTCCATTTGATCTGAGACGAGAGTCTGATGCAATTCCTCCTGACGTGACTCTACACTCTATTATTTTTGAGAGCCCGGACAAAAATAGGTGGGCCAGGTGTCTAAGTGAACTAGTTAAATATGCTGCTGAGCTTTGCCCAAGCTCTGTTCAAGAAGCAAAGTAAGTATATTTTGTTGCTGTATTTATAGCTGTTTTACCCACTATTGCATGTTAACTTTCTATTACATGCCTGCACTATATCTTAGTGTGGAGCAGGACATTCCAAAAAACTGTCATAAGTTTTAGTTTATATGTGTTTCCTTTAATAGTATCGTCTAAAAATCTTTGTAGCTTTTTACTATTGTATTTAGGATCCAGCCTAGTTGGAGAGTTTCCTACTTTATTTGATTATGTGCTTCCATAACAGTTATTAGAGTGATAGCGACTCAAGTTATTTGCTAATACCAAGTAAAGTTGATGAAAGTCTTAAGTTCTGTTTAAAATCAATGTGCTTCTACTGACAGTAACTCTCTGCCCTGTGTAGCATTTCAAATTTGATGAATTTTTGTATTTCTGGTTCTCACTTTTAGTTTGTGACTTCTGTTTCTTTTAAGCTACTTAGGTGAAAATTGTGTTAATTTTGTTACATTACTAATTTGGTTGGTGGTTTGACTGAACTATTTTATTTACGAATGAGAAAAGGAAGTGGTGGGACTGATGTTGCTTTATTGGCAGGGCGGAGGTAGTTCAACGCCTTGCCCATATTACTCCGACTGATTTAGGTGGCAAGGCTCAGTCGCTAGATGGAGACAACAAGCTTGACCAGTGGCTCATGTATGCAATGTTTGCATGCTCTTGTCCCCCAGATAGTAAAGAATCTGGTGGCTTTCAAGCGGTGAAAGATCTATACCATCTTATTTGCCCGTCATTAAGATCTGGTTCTGAAGCGAATATAGTAAGTGGAGTTTTTAAAAGCTATCACTGTAGCTTCTCTATGTTAGTTCTGTTTTTTTTATAGAAGCCTTTTGGTTAGTTTATTTTGTTGAGGTATCAGAAAGATGTTCACAGGGTAGAGTAATTTATAAGAAGGAAAACTAAGCCGGAACTTCTTGTGAACAGAAATTGTAGCATATAAACAAGAACAATCCGTGCCATTTTAGTGCACACTGGATTGGATTTGGAGTTGTAGGCAAGAACTGATGATCCATGGTTGGAATAAGAGCTTGAAGCTCTGTATCAATGATTAATTAGAGTCTCAAAAGTTGCTTGCAAATTGTGAAGCAATTTCGCAGCTAAGCATTCACATGTAATCATCATCTGCGGTTTTATCGCAATAATTTAGCCAAAACATACCAACTGCAAAAGGAGACTGAGTATGAGACAATAAAACAGCTAAGAAAGGATTCAAACAACCTATAACATGGAAAGGAAAGGAAAGGAAAGGAAAGGAAAGGAAAGAGGAGGCCTGTTGGAAAGATTAAGGGGGGGCAATGATTTACTTGAGGTTCTTAGTGTCGTCATAAGTTGAGGATTTTGAGTAGTTTAGTGGGTCATACTGTCAAGCTAGGGCTTACACATAGAATTATAGTTCGGATGAAAAATCAAGTGAGGTTTTCCTATGTAATAGATGTAGAACTTACACAGATAAATCACATATAACTGATTATCTTTAGAGCAAGAACCGGAAGTTGAAACTTTGCCTAACACTGGTATTCCTGAACAGAACAGGAAAGACATAACACAGAAGCATATTCCTACCTGTATTAGAAAAACTAATATTCTAGGAATTGGCTCTTCTACCAAAATCATAATTATAGGTGTCTAATTTAACGAAGTAAGCAATTTATCTGACATATTGGATCCTTCTCTTGTTCCCCATGATAAGAAATCTGATGTATTTCCTTTTGGACAGCTATCTTGTGTGCATCTAGATTGTCTTATAATTGTTGTTTGTGCTATCTTGTATGTTACTAGACATGAATGAATTCTGTATCACTCAGGTCGTGAAACATGCTTTTATTTTCAATGTAACGACAGTTGTGTCTTTGTTTGGCATCAACAGCATGCAGCTACAATGGCTCTTGGGCGCTCACATTTGGAAGCATGTGAAATCATGTTCAGTGAGCTCTCATCTTTTGTTGACGAGGTTTCTCTGGAGACCGAGGCAAAACCAAAGTGGAAGGTAAGGATCCTTTTTTTTTATGACTATAACTGTATCAGCTTGCAATATGAGAGGATGGTTATTTTCTTTTAGCAAGAATCTCGACTGCAATTCTCATGTCTGTACCATGAAATTTATATTTGAGGTGATACCTTTAGAATGCAGCTAGTGCTAGGATTCCATTCAAAAGTGTGGCTTTGCATTTAAAGAAACAATTGTGTGCCAGTCAACTGATTTTCTATGTTTAAGCCATATACCAGAACATTTCATACTTAAATCACAACATTAGTTTCTAAAGAAAAGAAAAGTGACCTAACTTAATTGGTTGCTACATTGTGAGAAGGGTATTTCCAGTTCCTTTATTTTTTTCTTGAATTTAACATACAAATACGGAATGAAAACAACTTGTACACCTGTCATTAACCGTGTTACTTGATGGTTTCATACGTGATAAGAGGTATAGCGATTGGGTATTTTGGATTCACCTTCAGTTTGTTTCACATTTCCACTTTCGTTTCTTAGGTTGAATTCAAGTTTTGTTTCATAATCGTCGAGACTTGACTCCAAATCCCTACCCATGCTTGTGCAGAGTCAAAAATCACGCAGGGAAGAACTCCGTCTACACATTGCAAATATTTACCGCACTGTTGCTGAAAACATCTGGCCTGGAATGCTTAGTCGCAAACCTGTTTTCCGTCTTCATTACCTGAGGTTCATCGATGACACAACCAGACAGATCCTAACAGCCCCCACTGAGAACTTTCAGGAAATGCAGCCTCTTCGGTATACTCTTGCATCTGTTATAAGATTCCTTGCCCCTGAATTTGTTGACTCAAAATCAGAGAAATTCGACCTCAGAACCAGAAAGCGGCTGTTTGATCTTCTCCTGTCCTGGAGTGACGACACTGGTAGTTCGTGGGTGCAAGATGGCGCTGGTGATTACCGACGTGAAGTTGAACGGTACAAGTCTTCCCAACATTACAGGTCAAAAGACTCGGTTGACAAAATTTCATTCGATAAAGATTTGAGTGAGCAGATCGAGGCAATCCAGTGGGCCTCCATGAATGCTATGGCTTCACTCTTATATGGACCTTGTTTTGATGACAATGCACGGAAAATGAGTGGTCGGGTTATATCTTGGATCAACAGTTTGTTTAATGATCCTGCACCACGTGCTCCATTTGGTTACTCTCCAACTCCGTCTCACTCCAAATACACAGGGGAAAGTACACGTGGAGTTGCTGGTCGTGATAGACACAGAGGCAGCCATCATCGCGTTGTGCTGGCAAAATTAGCTTTGAAGAATCTTCTTCTTACGAATTTGGATCTCTTCCCGGCTTGCATTGACCAGGTGATATTACCTCCCCTTTCCCATTTCACTGGTATTTTTCCGCTGCAAGAAAAATACTAGTCCTGACATGAACTTCGTAGTTGTGATATGCTGCCTTGAGAAAAGTTAAACCTAATGTGAAACAAACTTGATGAGTATTGGTCACTTATGCTCCTACCGACTCTATCCTGTTGAAGTTATTTTTCCAATTTCTTTCTTTTATAAGAAAGAAAAGTAAAAAAGATGTTATTTTTCCAATTTCAATTTCAGAAAGTAAACCGTTAAACTGAGACAAGCACACCGTTAGAAATGTCCATTTTTAGCTTATTTCTAATGAGTAATTTTTTCTACGAGTTCTTTCTTCCTGTTCTAATTCGCAAGCAATGTTTTTCAGTGCTATTACTCTGATGCTGCTATTGCCGATGGCTACTTCAGTGTTCTAGCTGAGGTCTATATGCGCCAAGAGATACCAAAATGCGAAATACAGAGGCTTCTGAGCCTGATCCTCTACAAAGTGGTGGACCCAAATAGGCAGATTCGTGACGACGCCCTTCAGATGCTGGAGACACTTTCTATTCGCGAGTGGGCTGAGGATGGGATGGAAGGTTGTGGGGGGTATCGAGCCGCTGTTGTGGGCAATCTCCCTGACTCTTACCAACAATTCCAGTATAAGCTTTCATGCAAACTAGCCAAAGACCATCCAGAACTAAGCCAGCTTCTTTGTGAGGAGATAATGCAGAGGCAACTTGATGCTGTCGACATTATTGCACAGCATCAGGTGTTAACCTGCATGGCCCCATGGATCGAAAACCTCAATTTCTGGAAACTCAAGGACTCAGGGTGGAGCGAGAGATTACTAAAGAGCCTTTATTACGTCACGTGGCGTCATGGAGATCAGTTTCCAGATGAAATCGAGAAACTGTGGAGCACAATTGCTAGCAAAGCCAGGAACATCAGTCCAGTTTTGGATTTCTTGATCACAAAAGGGATTGAAGATTGTGACTCCAATGCATCTGCAGAAATAAGTGGTGCGTTCGCCACATATTTCTCAGTCGCAAAGAGGGTGAGCTTATATTTAGCCCGGATATGCCCACAGCGTACGATCGATCACTTGGTTTACCAACTTGCTCAGCGAATGTCAGAAGACAGCCTCGAACAAGTCAGTCCGGGTGTGACAACTAAGGGTGATCCAAGTGGAAGCTTCGTCTTGGAATTCTCTCAAGGCCCTGCAGCTGTCCAAATTGGTGCTGTTGTCGATACCCAGCCGCACATGTCACCTTTGCTCGTCCGGGGTTCCCTCGATGGGCCCCTCAGAAACAGCAGTGGAAGTCTGAGCTGGCGGACATCTGGTGTAACCGGGCGTAGCGTCTCAGGTCCCCTCAGTCCAATGCCTCCAGAACTAAATGTCGTCCCAGTGACAGCTGGCCGATCAGGACAGCTTCTTCCAGCACTAGTGAACATGTCAGGTCCATTGATGGGAGTTAGAAGCTCTACAGGAAGTTTGCGTAGTCGGCATGTATCTCGAGACAGTGGAGATTACCTCATTGACACTCCAAACTCCGGTGAAGACGGCTTGCATCCTTTTGCCATCGGCATGCATGGCGTCAATGCCAAAGAGCTTCAGTCAGCACTACAAGGCCATCAACAGCATTCCCTTACTCATGCAGATATAGCACTGATTCTCCTCGCTGAAATTGCTTACGAGAACGACGAAGATTTCCGCGAGCACTTGCCTCTGCTGTTCCATGTCACGTTTGTCTCCATGGACAGTTCGGAAGACATCGTGCTGGAACACTGCCAGCACTTGCTTGTCAATTTGCTCTACTCGCTCGCCGGCAGACATCTGGAATTGTATGAAGTGGAAAATAGCGATGGAGAGAACAAACAGCAGGTGGTCAGTCTAATCAAGTATGTACAATCGAAGCGAGGAAGCATGATGTGGGAGAATGAGGACCCCACAGTTGTTCGACCATCTCTCCCGAGTGCAGCACTTCTATCGGCACTAGTACAGAGCATGGTCGATGCTATCTTCTTCCAAGGAGATCTCCGTGAGACTTGGGGTGCTGAAGCTCTCAAGTGGGCCATGGAGTGCACATCGAGACACTTGGCTTGCCGGTCCCACCAGATCTATCGTGCCCTCCGACCCAGCGTAACGAGTGACACGTGTGTCTCCCTCCTCAGATGTCTTCACAGATGTCTTGCTAACCCTGTTCCCCCGGTCTTAGGATTCATAATGGAAATCTTGCTTACTCTTCAAGTAATGGTGGAGAATATGGAACCAGAGAAGGTCATACTCTACCCTCAACTGTTCTGGGGCTGTGTTGCAATGATGCACACGGACTTCGTTCATGTCTACTGCCAGGTCCTTGAGCTCTTCTCTCGAGTCATCGACAGGTTATCTTTCCGTGACCGGACTAACGAGAATGTCCTCCTTTCCAGCATGCCTCGTGACGAGCTGGACACCAGCGGAGGTGATATAAATGGTGATTTCCAACGAATGGAATCATCATCATCAATTGGGACCCTCCCAACATTCGAAGGTGTGCAGCCTCTTGTCCTCAAAGGTCTGATGTCAACGGTTAGCCATGATACCTCCATCGAGGTCCTGTCGAGGATTACAGTTCACTCCTGTGATTCCATATTTGGGGATGGAGAGACTCGGCTTCTCATGCACATCACTGGCTTGCTCCCATGGCTCTGCTTGCAGCTCAACAAAGACACAACAAAAGCGTGCTCGGTAGCAAACAACATTGCTGTGTGGTGTCGAGCCAAGTCACAGGACGAGCTGGGGACGGTGTTCGTGGCCTACGCCCGAGGAGAGATTCGGAGCATTGAGAATCTCCTCGGCTGCGTGTCGCCATTGTTATGCGCAGAGTGGTTTCCGAAGCACTCAGCGTTGGCGTTCGGGCACTTGCTTCGGCTGCTGGAGAGAGGGCCAGTGGAGTTCCAGAGGGTCATACTGCTCATGCTCAAGGCTTTGCTGCAGCACACTCCAATGGATGCTTCGCAGAGCTCGCATATGTACGCGATCGTGTCCCAGCTTGTTGAGAGCACCCTTTGCTGGGAGGCACTTAGCGTGTTGGAGGCTCTTCTACAGAGCTGCAGTAACTTACCTGGCGGTGCTGGGTCCCATCTGCACGAAGCTGGTGCCGGAGAGAATGGTGGTGATTTTGGTTTGGCAGGGGTTCAGACTTCGTTCAAGGCTCGGAGTGGGCCACTGCAGTACGGTATGGGTTCGGGATTGTTTGCAGCGGCAGGAGTTTCGCCATGGGGTAGTCAAGGCGGAGGTGGAGGTGTTGAGACGGGGATTCCAGCGAGGGAGGTCGCTCTACAGAACACGCGGCTGATACTTGGGAGGGTGCTGGATAATTGTGCGCTAGGGAGGAGACGGGACTACAAACGGCTGGTTCCATTTGTAAACAACATCGGCTCATGAAGGAAAAAATGAGCAGCAGGCTACTGTGCCAAGAGTATATGGTGTCTACTTTTAACCTTTATTCATTACTGTTGCGTGTAAATGTAATTATATTAGTTGGGGAAAGAAGGCGAGGCCGTGGATTTGTTCTTGTACATAGGCCTTCTGGGTGGAAAGCTGGGGGGATGGAGATGCAATGCTGTGGCAAACGTCAGTGTACATTGTCATTGTCGACAGCAACTGAAAATATTATTTGTACACGGTACTCGTTCTAAGTTTGTTTTGGTCTCTACTACTGTAAAGGTATTGTGTCTTAGTCTCTTAGAGGCTAGAACTCATCTTCATCTTCATCCTCTTCCTATTCGATTTTGTTTTGCCCGTCAAACTGCAAGTAGATTTCCCCGTCTTTCGATTTCATTGAAGTTGCTAAAACTCATCACTGAGTTGCACTGTTTCCTTACAACTGGATACTAGATTCTTATTTTCTCCGAAACGTTGATGCTGTAGAGTTGCGTTCTAGCTTCTAGTCGAGAAGTTGGAATAAGCAACTGTTTCTTGAAAGACTGACTAATATTGTAAGCCAGCAGGCTATACTTGACGTCAAAAGAATAGCGAGCAGCAAAGAGATGAGAACACAGCACAAAGTATATATTACAGCTTCCTTCAGGGTACAATCTGGGATCACAGTACAGGAAGTATAAACCAAAGCAGCATGCAAAGCCAGGAAGAAGATATTACACAGCACCAGGGAAATGTTTATGACGAAAGTTCAGCCCCCCCGGCTCCTAAGGTGATCGAACGATCACCACTCTGCATTGCGCGCCTTTTTGTACAAGAATACAACTCCCTAAACCAAAATCAGGGTTCTTGAACATTCTTAATTTAACAACACACAGGATTCCAAGTTTTTTTTTTTTTAATCTCAAGCAGTAGGAGACGAGTTCTTCTTAATCAGCGCATATGCATCACTGTATATTGCCACTCCATTCGACAGCACTGCCAGCACAATCATGAACACACACAGCATCTTGTCCTTTGACGTTGCTATATAATGCCGGTCCCTGAAACTCGGCAGCCAATTCCATGTCAGACAATCATTGACGTATATTAATTAAGTACAAAGGAAATCAGTTGATAGGAGCTCACCTGAGAGTAATGGAAGCTGGAAAAATGAACCCAAGGCAAACAGCAGCTGTAGCTCCAGTGAACTGGAAAGCATCCCAGATGCTCGGGATGAAATTTGCACCCAAGAAGATGACCGAGATGAGAGCAATGGTGAGAGATGCAAAGCGGACATTATCCTGGTTCAAAGGCCTCGAAGAGGGGAACAGGAGGCCATCCAAGTTGAGCCTTAGCGGATGGAAGACAATTGGAAACACAAGCATCAAATGAGCGGCATAACTGACACGAACAGCATCATTCAAAAATGAGCTATAAGGAATGCCGAGGTCAGTGTTGAAGTTGGCCAGCACATCGTCCATCGTCGAATCACCGAATAGAAGGAAGCCGAAAATGCTCGTCATAACGTATACGGATGAACATAGGGCGAGTGATGTTCGCACCACTGGCTTTATCTGAGTCGAATCCTCAAGCTCATTGTCTATGCTGTGAACTGGCAAACAGAGAATTCGAAATCAGTACCTGTAGTAGATTACGTGTGTTTGTTGGAATGAAAGCTCAAACAAACATACATTTAAAATCTAACCAGCCATTCACACTAAACCCACCGTAATCCCAGAAAATACTTAAATCTGAAAGTCGCAACAGTATTGAACTTCCATTACTAACTTTTATCTTTGACATAAGAATGATCTATTCAAAAGATTACACTTCATAATAGTCACTACGCAAACTACATGTCATCGCATCATTCACTTTGTACTACTAATAAAAATTGCATATACCATATCCTCTCTAGAGCATTACCAGACACTTTATATTTTTCAATAACAAACACAACCATTGTACTTGTTTCTCCAGAAGGTATTAAGTCCAAGCTGGGTGCTTCAGAAATAGTAAACACAGGATGTAAACTTTACTACATCCCAAAGGCAATACTAAGCTCGGAATTTCAAGCCAAGGTATCATAAGAGGATAATTCTTCATGCTGGTTGCAGAGAAACCAAGAAATGTTATAAAAAAACGGAAGACACCCAGAACACCATTTACTAGTTATGGAGAATTGGATGCCGCAATGCCCTTGGTTTAGCATCAGAGTAACAAGGCCCACATATATAGTCTGAAAATTAGAATTAGAATTTGGCATACCGTTGTAGTGGCAAATGTATGCAGTGACAAGAACAGGAACAACTGTGAAAAGGTTCCAGAATGAAGCCATATTTGTGACATCAGGGAGCAATCTGGGCATCATTATGCTTCCATTTATCAACTTAACAATTGTAATCCCCATGGTGATGACAATGAATAATACTGCAAGCGCAACTGAGAGAGCTGATGTATAGCTTAAAGAGTCTGCAAAAACAAGCAAGCCACAGCCAACACAACAAGAAGCATGAGAAGCGAAATAAATTTGAAACTCTAAATTGGTACCACAAGCTAAAATTGTACATATGAAGTCTGTGTAACAAATTCCCTTAGTATTCACTGTGGAAGCATGGAAACTACTCAGATGTGACACAGCAAAAAGGAGAAAGAGGAACCTATATTCCAGTATTGACATGAACAATTACTGATTCCGTATTGAAAGTGAGTTATCGAGTGATCTGTTGAGGTGGCTATGCAACTAGAGTTCAATTTCCAGAAATCATTTTGAAATAGTCGTATCATCACAAAGACTATGTTTTTAAATTACAGGCAGAGCAAAATGAACTCAACGGGTAAAAAAGAAAATGAAAATAACAATCAACTAGCATGTTTTATGTCTACTATTACTAAAAACCGAACCAAACACTTACCAAGTCGTTTCAGACAGGCCAAGGGAGAAAATATGCCCAATGTAGTGATGAGTAGAACAGCAGTGCGTCCATTCCACAAATGTACTCCAAACCACCCTTCAAGAACACCCGGGTGATGAATCCCATCAGCAGTTGTTCCAGACAGCACATCACCTTCGCATAAGGATAAGTAGGTATACAATTGAGTCAAATGTTTTCAACCACAAGAACATATAGAGAAATTAAACAATATATTAAGGAAAATTAACAAAGGTGAAGCCAGGCATACCGATGATTATCATGTATACAATGAGTACACCTATGTTGTTGATCATGACAGCAACTTGTAACAAATTTTTCCCAACTTTCCCAAAGGCATCCCCCATAAGTCCACCATAAGATGAACTCTTGGATACCCGGCTAAACCTAAGCAACAATTCAATTGACGCCTCTGTCAAGAACGCCATAAAGATGATCATGGCAACCCCAAGTACAAGCCCCAACACCTTCATGGTGGCGGGCAGAGCCATGATCCCGGCACCAACAATGGTAGTTGACAAATTGAACACAGCCCCTGGGAAAGAAGCTCCATTGAACTCATCAAAACCACCATCCTCACCATGCGTTTTAGGAAGCAAGGGAGCATTCTCATCAACTTGCTTCCCCTTTTTACTAGATTTCCTTTCTTTCTTGGGAGCTGTATTGTTCCCAATCGTCATCTTTCTTATCTCTTATACTACGGATTCGAAACTTCTGAATTTTGACAAAGGCTCAGCCTTTCAGACGAAACAAGAGAAAACTCACCAAAATCAGCTTCAAAATTCTGGAACTTTTTAGGGTTTAGCAGTGAATTTCAACTGGGAAATGACGAAATGATATTGAAATAGAGGCAAACCTGCAAGATATATGAAAACAATTGCAGGCAAGCACGATTGTTGGAACCTAGAACACGACTTCTATAACGAATAAGATGAATACCCCAAAAAGAAATTATCCAAAACCGGATAATTGAATCGCTACACGCAACAGATTTTGACCTATTCCGAATAAGAGAAACAAGCTACCCAATCAAAAAGCTATAAACACATACACAATCCCAGAAAGCAAGCTCTCGAAATCGAACCAAGTCAGACCCAGAATCAGAAATGGGAAAATGATCAAACTTGAGAGCAACCCTATATTTAGGAAAGCAGGATATTCACCGGACTCCGAGTTATCAAGATTTTTTTTTTGGTGACTGGGCTGATTTATCTAGTTGCTACTGAATTTCGGCTTATATAGCCCAAGGAGAGAGAGATGCACACGGAAGCGAAGGCAGAAGAAGAAAGTCTTTTGTGTACAGTTCTAGGGATGGCCTACGAAATGCGAATTGACAATTCGGCGTCTGGTCGCCACATGAATTGTTTAATCGATAGAAATCGATAGTAGGTGCAGGCGGGGAGCCGGGGATAAAACCATCAAGGGAAATGAAGGGGGAAGCTTTTGTTTCCTCTGCTAGTAGTGTTTGGCAAGGTGGGTGTGAGTGGAAAGATGATGATGATGATGATGAACGCCGAGAGCGATGAATGAATGAGCAAGGGGCAAGGACAGGGAATACTCGGATGAGCTAATCAGCCTACTAGCTGTTGTTAATCATGGAGGCGTAAAGGGTTAATTGCACAGGATGTCACTTAAGTTCTAGACTTGTTGCACGTTGACCATGGAATTAATATTTGTTATAACTAAACCACCTAACTCTATTTTTTGTTGCATAGTTATTTTCTCCGTCCAAAATTTACAATGGGTATGAAATTGTAATTATTCATGACACCTAGACAATCCTAATCAGTCTGAATTATAGGGCAATTCCCTCCGTCGCCGTAACCCCCCACCACCACCGTTAGCTCTCTTCGACAATGCCACACTCCGCATATACCACATATTAGCATATAAACGTACAATGATGGTAACATGGGAATCAAATATACTTTTGTTTAAGCCAATATGTTGTCCTTAGCACCGTTGTAATTGTTGGATCAAAGGAGCTAAATTATTACTATTAGGTGGAAGACCTCAAATAATGAAGACAAACATATTATCAACCAATCGTTTACTTGGACAACTCACAAATGGAGGGCATTGGTGATTAAGCTTTGGGTTAACAAAACATCTCGTCTTATTTACAATTTCAGTGCTTAGTTCGCTTTGCTTCACTCTGTTTTTTTTTTAATGGTGATCTTATTAGTATTAATTAAACACAACAAAATACAGAAGCCAGAGAGAAAAACAGGACAATAGCAGAGGTGTTGGGAGAAGCCAGCAGCCCCAAATCAAAAGAACCAATCCTCTAGAGATCCTACCAAGGCTTACATCCAACTGTGATACAAGTCGAAATCCATTCAATTGCTCTCCATCCACCCAGCCAAGACAAAAGAAACTATAAAAAAAAATTCACTCTGTTTTTATCTCATATAAAACAGAGACTGGCCGGCTAGAGGCTTTGCCTTTGTGTTATTTTCAGGGGCCAGAGTTGAAGCGTCCAACAAAACAGTCTATCCATTTCTCTTGAACTAGATTCATTCACAAATACTAAATCTAGCCCCAACAGCTCTCCAATTCAGCCATGAAAATGACAAAGGCCTCTGTTATTCAATGCTTTCTTTTGTAATTGCTCTTCTTCATTCTCTTCCTCTTGCTCACTATCTTCGTCTGCAATTTCTTCAAGTTTGTCCCAAATAGGAAGCAATATATACATCCTCAAGCTTAAAGTAGAGGATTCATTCACCGTGTAAAAGACATCGTCCTCCACTCCTCCTCATCCAAATACATTCGCTAATTACATGATTCTCTTCCAGATTTGGGCCCGAGTTTGAATTTTGGGCAACCGCTCCCATGCTTTACCTCCAAGTTCTTGACTTCTTGCTGAATGAATAGTGTAAAATTTTGAAGGGATCGTCGTTGGATGGTGCACACTGGCGAATGAAATGATAACACAACGACAACTCAGCTTAGTTGGATTGCCCACGTGGCATGAATAATTACGATTTCATACCTGCCGTTAAGTTTTGGGACGAAAAAGATAATGTTGCAACAAAAGTTAGAGTTAAGTGATTTAGTTGCAACAAATATTACTTCAATGGTCAACATGCAACCAATATAGAACTTAAGTGACAACATGTGCAATTAACCCTGTTTTGGTTTGTCATTTACTTAATTAATTTAAGTTTAATGTGTGGTGTTTGTTAAGTATTGTTTTGGGGCTAACCAAAGGTCATGTGATATAAAAATTGTGAACTCATTTGATAAAATAATATTTTCTAAACTCGTTAGTCACATGAGACCTCTAAGAGTGTAATTAAATGAACAAACTAACCAAGATAATGTAAAAATAATTTTCAGTTTTTCACATAAGGGGGTGTTTGTTCTTATTTTACTCGAAGGATTTGAATTAGTCCCTCTGATTGTATTTTGCCAAAAATGAAAGAAAAAAAAGGGAATCTGTCTTTTCATAGTTAATGTCAATTGTGTTATTTCTATTGAATGAATTAGGCAAAATACACTTGTATAGCCAAAACTTTGATGGTTTGGTCAAATATAGTCACTTTTGGCGAAATACCAAACATAGTCACTTCCGTCCAATTGTTTGACGATGTTAGTGAATGTGCTTACTGGACTAACGGTAAGGCTGATGCGGCAAAAATTTCGTAAGTAACAATGCCAGGTGAAAAACCATCATAATTTTACCTTTTTATTTTAATGAGCTTAAATAAAACAAAATTACCAAAAGAAATACATTAAAAAAAATCTCTCCACAGTTAAATAAAAGAAAAGAAAATCTCTCACCCTTCGTCCCTTCCCCTACCTCTGCTTCTCGTCCATCTTCTCTTCCCCACTCCACCTCCATATCTCCACCACTTATCCTAAAACCACTTTTCTTTTCTTACCACACAAAATAGAGGAGAAGCTTTGAATATGATGGTCACCGCTCCTGGTCCATAAGAAACTGTACCCCAGATTCGGATTTGGAAACCCCCCAAATTCAAGAACCCTAGTTCTTCCTCCCAAATTCGCTAGATTCTTGAATGCAGGCCTGGGGATAGTGATGTTGATCATTGACGGCAATAGGAGAGAGTTGGTAGCGGTGGTACCCGACTGCGAGCACTAGAAATGCCCAGCGTGAGTTCGTCGGCGGGAGTTGATGTAGAGGCGCGACCCACCGCTGTCATCGTCGTCAAAGCATCTCTGTCTTGAGGAGGCAAATCGAGTTCCCCAGAGCCTCAAGCCCCGAATCATACATCCAAACCATGGAGTTCATCTCCTCATATTCCCAAATTTCATCGGCAATCTCCTCCATCCCTAATTCAATCCGTAACCTCCGCGCATTGGCCAACTTCTGCTGCTGGGGTGGAGTTTCTGATGTATTACGTCAACAACCCAATCTTCTCCTCTTTATTTCTGATGGATGTCTCAATTACGAGGGCTCGGTGGAGGTGGAGATTGTGCGACAGAGGGAGGAGGCGGCACCACTGAGGGGGCGAAGGAGGCGATTGGATCAGTGAGAGAGGAAGAGTTGGAGAGAAGGGCGACGGTGTTATTGAATTTTTATTTTATTTATTATTTACTTTATTTTTTTTAGTTGATTTTTTATTTATTTTTAAATTAAAATATGACATGGCATCCATGTGACGAGTGTTGTTGAGTTGTCGATGATGTGTCCGGTGAGTTGGCAGCCACATAAGCGTTCAGTTAATTTGACTAACGGTGTCAATGACGCCGTCAAATTATGTAACGGAAATGGCTATATAAGTCATCAAACTTTCAAAGTTCTGGCTATTATTGGTATTTACCCAAAAGTGGCTATTATTGTCACAAACGTCAAAGTTTTGGCTACACAGATGAATTTTGCCAATGAATTATTGTGTATTTTTTGTTGAATGTATGGAAATTCCTCAAAATTACCATAGATTACCATAAAACTTGCATATATGTTTAAGGGAACAAAATTCACTTCACACAGAAAGCTATCTTAGATCTCCAGATTCAAGTTATGAAGAAGAAAAAAAATATCCAAATTCAATTATGTCTGAGTTTATTTTTCCATTAAGTTTGTCTCCTCCTTCCTATTAAATATCAATAAGATTGATATTTAACGTTAATTTGAAAAATGACAATAGGAGCTATTTAACGTTAATTCTCCATCTAGTCTCAATTTACCTATCTGACAAGTACAAAAATGTGGATGAATGATGATAAACTTTCATGTACAATCCGCACTTATGACTTATGAGGATGAGTGTCTATGAGTCCATCCAATTGTCGTTTGGGTTCATTCATTTGTCACTCAAGGAGAAAATTACATATATTTTTTTTTATTTCTCTTAGGTTTTCCGAATTCGCCGAATATGGATCGAAATAAGTAGGGTTTATGAACGAATTGGGGCAACGAAAGCCCGCAAAAAGTTTAGGTTGGCTTCCAGCTCCATTGCGGCCGGCATCCTGCTCTCGAGGGAGTGGAGTCCTGGAGCGAACTACCCACATTCGCTTACAAACGAGTTTATTTCGTTTAAACCTTGCATTCAAATCCCCCGCTACTTTAAACGAGGGATTTTGGTCAAACCTGTCGTATAAAAATTCCTAATCCAAATCCAAACAACCCACAAGGGTTTGTTATTTGTGGGAGTGAAACCTAAACAGCTTGGAAATGGAATTACAAAGCACCTTATGCAGATATAACATGTGAAAACAAGCATTAAACAACTACTCATTATTACATAACCAGCTATTAGCTATATAATGTATGTAGGTCTTGGAAGGTTTGAAAGAGTAGAGCTTCAAAACAACCCCCATGATCAAGCTGCTAGCTAGGCAAACCCTAGAACCCCATTCAGCAAACCCTCTTGCAGTCTTTATTGAGGAAAGATTATTCAGCAGAACAAGCGACGAAGGGCGCCCCCAATGGTAATGGTAGCTAGATCGATGCATCTAATTAAGTTGAGGAAGATGCAAGGGGGAAATACCTAGCTAGCTTAATTGGGAGTTTGGATGAGGAAAGCCATGCACTGGACCTGTTGAATGTTGTCGAATGCGAGGCAGCGAATGTAAGCATTAGGGTACGTCTGCTTGCATTGCTCGATCTCGTTCAGCACCTGGGACGAATCGTTGCAACCGAACATCGGCAGCTTCCACAGAGTCCAGTACCTGCCGTCGTAGTACCCTGGCATCCTGCTGTTCTCCCTGTACACATATCCCACCTGCAAGCAACCCACACATTCATTACCAATCACGATATTATCGATCGATACCTTCTTCCAGTTTTTCAATTAGTAATGTATCGTAGGACATTGATTCCAATTCTGTGGTAAAGGCAACTCTGATGCAAAGACTTTTACTTTGTTGTTTAACTAATGATTTAAAACCTAAGTGAGGAGATAACAACAAAGGGGCGGTGGCGCAGTTGGTTAGCGCGTAGGTCTCATAGCTACTGAGTGATCCTGAGGTCGAGAGTTCGAGCCTCTCTCGCCCCATAATATTTTTTTCCCCCTGTTTTCTCCTCTTCAAAAGTTCATGGGTTGTTTGGTATATGGATCTTTTTAAGACTGGATGATTTTAATAAATCTGGATTTGAACTCTAAGAATTGGACTTTTAATCTGAGAACCCATAATTTCACTAATCAAACAAAGTGGGTTCAGTCAATGGTAATTTCTGTTTCCCAAATTACAGTGCCCACATAATCTATTGAAAAACCATCTAATATACACATATCAACCATCACCAAACACGCCCTAACTAATTTGCGCTTAAACTTTCGTGGCGCAGCAGTGATTAAATAAGTTCGTTACCTCGTCAAATTCAAGGCAAGGAATCCAGCCCTTCTTGATCATGTAATCGATCTCCTTGGCGACGGAGTCCTGTGACAGCGGAGGAAGGTAAGACAGCGTCTCGAACTTCTTGTTGTCGATCGGGTTCCACGTCCTCATACAGCAAACCTTCGAACCGTTCGACACGGTACTACTAGCAGCCTTCCTCCTCCACGCCGCAACATCGTATAACTGCTTCGTAGCCGGCGACGAGTTATGTTTCAGGCCGTGGAACCCGGCGAACACGCCAACGGACATCCCTGCCGCCGATGACATTCTTCCTTTCTTCCTTAACTTCCTAGCTAGCTAGGGAGTGATAGTGATGGATTGATTTTTGAGAAGTGGGTTTAGAATTTTCGATGGGAGATGGAGAGCTAGTAATGGTGATGAATTGATGATATTTGCATGCGCCGTGAGCCAGCGTTGGAGTTTGTGAAGCGATGATGATGATGGTGGGTGTGCGGTTGGTGTGTGAACGCTTTTACTAGGAAGACGACACTTGGTTTAAGGAGATGGTGACGGCAGGATTATGGTGAGGTGACAATTCTTTTGGTTATTTGCTTCGGTTGCTCCGTCGTCACTATGGATAGCATCTCGATGATCCAAACGAGTCTGTTCTTTCTATCCGTTCTGGCAAGGCCCAATTGTCGGCCCTCTGAAGTAGGCCTGCTTTGTGGGGGTCAGCCAAGTTGCTATAACAGGCCGAAGTTTCTGATCCACTTTGGGTTCTCATTCTAATCACCTTTTTTTTCCCCGGATTTCCTTCCTTGGACAATGATGGCGCGTTCAACATCCCAGCTCAGCTTGCAGTCAGTGGTGTACTTCGAAAGGGAACTAGCTAACTGTTTTATTGTAATTTTTATATTGGTAATTAGGGGTAGTTTAGCCATTTTGATAGGGGTGGGGAATGGGCGGGTCGGGTACATTTTTAGGGGTGGGCATTGGTGCGGTTTGGACCGCACCACACCGTAATGATACAAATCGCACCGCACCGTATCTCAAATGGACCGCACCGCATATTCGATTGCAATATTATCGGTGCGGTCAACCAAATCGCATATATTAGTGGTTTGGAGCGGTTTGAACCGCATCGCATGTTTGACCGCAATTTATTATGAATTATATATTGATAAAATACAATTACTACCGCCGACCGAGAGCATCAACTCATTGCCTACAAGCACAAATTGCCTCTTCCTTTCGACATCTCCTTTTCTCTGGAAATTTTGTTGCCTTTCAAAGTCAAATTCATCATCTCTTGAAAATTATATTTGATTAAGTTAATGGAAGAAGGGTCAAAAGCTCGTTCAGCTCCCTGGCCAAAGTGCAACAATCTCCTCGCCGAGCTACCCAAACTTCTCTATCTATCAGTTCAGGAGATGCACGGCTGTTCTTTGAGGTATTCAATTGCATACTCTGTTTCTCGCACCTCTGTTTTAGTTTGTTCTGTTTGGTTTCGAGAATTCAAAATAGAAAATGTTCCCGAGAATTTAATTTGTTCTTTATTTACCTTGGGTTGGGATATGCGAAGATGAAGAATAAGTAGACAGCAGCGGGTTGCGCATTAGTTGATGGAATATAAATCCGGAAGTCAGCATGGAGTAATATGTTGGTCGGTTGTTTATTAGCGGTTTGTGGTTTCGAACCGCAACCGCGCGGTTTCAGTTTAATCCGACCGCAAACCGCAAGCCGCTAAAATGATAGACCGCATGTCAAACCGCAAGTCTCGCGATGCGGTTTGGCTCGACCGCAAAAGCGGTTTGGTGCGATCTGGAACGGTTTGACCGCACCAATGCCCACCCCTATACATTTTGGTCTCAAATTGACCCACCCGCTTACTAGCGAGTTGGAATAATTGTGACTCGCAATCTACCCACATACCTGTGCGGGTTGGGTTGGGTTGGGTGGGTGGCGGAAGGGTGTGATTGGGTCGTGGGCAAATTGCAAAAGCAACTTTCCAACTAGCCATTAAGAAAGTTTACTAACTTTTATAATAAGTTCATAGCAAATTAGTAAAGGCTGTATCAATAATCTGTGATTTTGATACAATTAATAATTTATAGTTTGCATCCCAATATTTAATTGATATAAACAATAATTTGCATACCAATATCCAATATCTAATAGATATTGCAGTTGCACAACACAAAACCAATAATAGTAGTCAAAACTATTCTTTATTCTCCACCTTTTGAAGTATATGGTCAGAGGGTAGTGCAGTTCGAAAATATGACGAATATTCTATACTATAAAAAAACAACATTTTTTCATGTAAAATAGGATGCGGGTTCATACGGGTGACCCGCAATCCACCCACCACCCACCCACCCACATTAGTGTCGGTGGAAGATTTATCAATCCGCAATCCACCCACATCAATCACCCATTGCGTGCGAGTCAGGTTATTTGTGGATGAATCGATATCAATCCGCGGATTAACCACCCACCCCTACATTTTATACTGGCTTTTGGGACAAGGGAGTTTACACGCAGCAGTAGCTACTTGGTGGAGACCTCTTTGGTTGAACAGACACGTACAACAACATTTATTGAATAATTAGAGAAGGTTTATAAGGATTACAAAATAGAAACATGAGAGTGACCACTATGTGATATGATAACCACCATTCATTCGTTCGTTCCTCCAATCTCACAAAGTGTTTCCAGGGATATTCGGCAGCAGCGATGGTCTTTATTTCTTCTGCCCGTACCCTCTTTCCAATTTCAACTGAAAACTTGGCAGATCAAGATGAGTAGAGAGGCTCTGGATCCACCTTCCTTCTAATCCTGTACAGAAATAAACAACATTGTCAATGAAACGAATTAGGAATCCGATCGATACACCGTAATGTGTAGCAAGTCTATTCGATCTGCAGGAAGCTAGACGGAATATGAAATGATGCATTACCAATTGTCAGGCGACCATTTGCAACCAACAGTGTCCACAACATGCGCGCTGAAAGCATGTCTCGAGTTCGGAGACTGGTTCTCGAAACTTCGAAAAGAACAATGAAACATAGAATCGAAATCATGCTTAATTATATACCATCCCATACATAATATAATATAATTTACTAACTAGTTCAGAAATGTTGTTGATTAATTTACCTTCGATGTACGAGATCCCCATGAATCAAGACCAAAGACCCGGCTTTCGCTTCAATAGCCACGAAATCCGACTGCTCATAAGAAGGCGACGGCTGATCGAACTGGAGACCTTGCTCCCCTCGAATCAGCCTTCTCACCAGCCCATCTACAGAAAAAACCCTCAAATCATTACAATATAAACAGACTCGATCGTTTGTACCAACTGGCTAGCGGACGAGAACGCAAAGGAAATTAGATGAGTACTTCGATGAGATCCAGGAATCGCCCACATGCACCCATTAGCAGTCGTAGCGTCTTCCAGCGCCAGCCACAGACCAGTGCAAGTGGTTTTCGGTTCGGTGTACAGAGTCGAGTTATCCTGGTGAGGCGCCACATCGTTTCCAAAGCCCGATTGCTGAAAAAACAGAATAAACTACAATTTAACAATGAAAATCATCATTGAATCGATTGATCCCAATAACTCGAGTTGTTGGAAGCGATTCAATCGTGGATCATATATCATTCACTAACACCTCCCCTCAAATGATAGCCGGTCACCTCATAAGGGCTTTCGTTTGTGATAGTCTATCACCTCATAAGGGCTTTCGTTTGCACAGGTCTAAATACACGATACCATGTGCTTCACAAACGGGAGTCACCGGGATTCGAACACAAGACCTTTCGATCGCATAAGGCTCTGATATCATGTCAAGAACCAATTAATCCAAATAACTCGAATTATTGGAAGAGATTCAATCGTGGATCATATATCATTAGGTGTTACCTTAAAAATATATACGGACTGAATGATGACTGGCCTCTTGTAACCCAAGGATTGTAACACACTTGTGATTTTCTCAGAACGGGAGTAGTCTTTGAATACAGGGTCGAGCTCATGCAAGGCTGTAATAGACATTGCAATGTTTTAGGGAATGGACAAAAGTAATGCTAAAAATCACGGTATTTCAGCTGCTGCCTTAATTTACCATGGCCAACTTTACTCATGGACACTTCCTTTGGCTGCTTTAAGTTCCCTTCCTCATCAAACGCTTTCTCTGTAACCCGTCAATCAGAAATATTAGGCATCACAAATCCAAAATGTTGGTATCAGAGTAATATATATATGTATCTACCTTCAAAGAAGAAAGAGATCTTCTCGGCGCTCTCGTACATGAACTCGTTCATTTCCTTTTGCTGGACAAACACATCCAAAAAAAAAACCCTCCATATGGCTGTTGTTAGACATAATTTTCACAGAGTTGGAACAAAACAGAGTCGAGAGAAAGAGGGAGATGAACCGAACCTGATTCATGGCAGAGGAGCCGTCGAAGTCGTGAAGCAACTGGTCCATTCGCTTCCTCATGCCGTCAATCTCGGCCGAGCTCGCGAACGATTCGACTACGAGGTAACCTTGCGAAGCGAACAAGCTGAGCTGGTCGGCGGAGAGAGGTCCCATGGCGGCGGTGATTGGTGACGGCGAGGAGCAGTCGGGAAGCCAAAAACAGAGAGGGAAACCCGGGTACAGAGGAAGAGAAGCGAGTAGAAGATGGGGAAAGAGATTTTGTGTATTATGATTCGTGGAAATGGAGGATTTATATATAGTTGGTATTCTGATTCCGGAAGTCCGAAAAGAAATGGAGATTGCCGTCCGGACAGGATCAAACTAACAGCCGAAACAGAGCCTTTTTGTTTGTTTTTTTAATGGGATTGTTCAGAAGGAACCCGGATTGCCGGATCGGGCAATGTTATTAACGAAAGCGAGCCACTTTTAATTTGATTTGATTTTTTTGATAATGGCGAAATAGTTTTATTAAAAAGGAAAAATTACAACGAAACAAATCCAGCAGCAAGCAGCTGAAGAAAGAATCAGCCGAAACAAAACAACTCAATATCCAAAACCCAACCCCTTCCCAGAACATCAAAACACTGTTTGTTAGAGTCCAATCAACGAGGATAATTTTTCTAATTAATTGAATCTTTGGGGTTGATTGATTGCTGTCATTTTCTGTATTTTTTTTATTAGGGTTAATACTTAATACCTTATTTTTTTGTTGAATACTTAATAGTTAATATATGAATTATACTCTAACTTATCGTTTTAGTCCGTGATTTCTGAAATTACTCTCCTAATCCGAACTATGCACCATACTTTCTTACTTGACTCTGAGCGAGTTTCCACCGTCAAATTGGACGGTCAACTTCATTGACCGTTAGTCAAGCGTCAGGTCACTTGCCACGTGAGCGAATTCGAAATAAAATTTTTGAATTTTGAATTAATGTAATTATTTTTGTTATTCAATATTTTGAATTATTTATTTACGTTAATTGTGATTGGTTTTATTTCGAGTTCGTTGTTATGACAAGTGACCGGGCAGGTCACGTTGGTCGTGACAGTGATAGATTAAGTCACATGAGATTGCCTTAGATGTACCTCCAGCTCCAAGGTGTAACCATTATCGTTTAGTATTTCGTATTAAAAATTCAAAACCTTATATTTATGCATTCAAAACTTGACATGAATACCATGCTTAGAAGAATCAAGCATGAGCACCTTAGGGTAGGTTAGAGAGGATATTTGCAATATTGGGAGATAGTAATTAATAAGTGCATGCTAACGTCATATAACATTAAATCATAAATTTCTTCGGACTTAAAGAGCTTCTAAAATGATTGCTTTATAAAATAAGATTTAGATTTCACTATAAAACACGATATAATAGTAATCACATAAGTCGAAACTCATATAATTTTTTCTTCGACAGAGTGCGAGTCAAATAACTAGTAGTGAACTTTAATGTTGATGGTTTAGCAGTCTTTGGTAGTTTAGGTGCATTACTGGAGCACCAGCTAGCTACATTACCAGCAAAAAGAGACCAAACACTTAAATCATACACTGATACACATACCAAACCCTAGATCACAGCTCCCATTATTGATTTAACATCAGGCCACAAGCTTTAAGGACGGAGATGAATTAACCAGAGATCTCGATCGCCTTGACGTCGGGCTTCTTGACCTCGGCCTTGGGCACCGTCACTGTCAGCACACCGTTCTCCATCCCGGCTTTAATCTCATCCATCTTCGCGTTCTCCGGCAGCCGGAACCTCCTCACGAACTTCCCGCTGCTCCTCTCCACGCGGTGCCACGTGTCGTCCTTGTCCTCCTTCTCCACGCGCCTCTCCCCGCTGATCTGCAGCACCCTGTCGTCCTCCACCTCCACCTTCACCTCCTCCTTCTTCAGCCCCGGCAGGTCCGCCTTGAACACGTGCGCCTCCGGCGTCTCCTTCCAGTCGATCCTCGTGTTCACGAACGCGGTGTTCTCCCCGCCGCCGCCGGGGATCAGGGCCGCCGACGAGGGGAAGTTGATCGGGAAGTCCCTGAAGGGATCGAAGGCGTCCAGAGCCGAGAATGGATCCCACGCGCCGCTGCTGCGGCCGCGGCGGTTTCCGAAGAAGCTTGGAATCAGCGACATTTTGAATTTCGTAAGACTGGGGGAAGTAAGAAGATCTACTTGCTCGATTGGATTGCTCGAACTAATTGCTCTATGAAATTGATTTGCTGAATTCGATTGTGGGTAATTGAAAGGGGGGCTACTGCTATTTATATGAACGCAGAGGGATAGCGCGTCGTTGGTCCAGTGACTTCTGGCGTCTTCTTTTCTTTTCTTCTCCAGGGAGGATCTGAAGATCAATCAATGGAGAAAGTTCTCGTCGTCTCTGATCGGGCTGTTTGATCTGGATTCTGGAGTCGAGATGTTTCTAGGGGATTCTAGACTCGCTTTGGGCTTTCGAGAGATATTATGTAATGGGCTCGAGTGAAGAATAATTCATTTGGTGGGCTGGATCTGATCCGGAATTTTCATCACGTTCTGCGTTCAGCCCACGAATGCATCTCAGTTATCTTCTCCGAAGTTCAGTTCCTTCTTGTCGACTACGGATTTTCATGTCCACTCTGCCCTCCTGAAACTGAAAGACTGTTTATCTCCTTAATCCATCGCACTTGGGAGTTGGGACTGCTCTTTCACACCATTCTCGTAGGAAACAAATCAGGTGGCAAATACAATTTTCGCAAGCCGGAAGCAACTGCATACACACGGAACAACGACGCACACGGTCATTTCATATCACGTCGATGTTTTTATCAACCAAAATCGAAACGTGATATATGTCGGACTTTGAGTGTCTAAGTCTTGTTATGTTATTTCAAGTTCAAATGTATCAAGAAGACAAACGTCATCACATTACTGCAACTAATTTTAGGATTAGTATTGTTTAGCACATTTTATGATTACATTGGTGAAAATCCAAATAACATTCTATTACAATTGCAGAGACAGCTACAAGGCCACAAAAAAAAATTTACATTCCTAATGCCTCGAATGCACCGGGATCTTTTGTTTTCGTCAAGCTGAAGAAGATCTGGAATCGAGTCACGTCATGATATCAACAAACACGGCGAAGATCCTATCATCGGGTTCCCCTTCAAGAATGGAGTGAAACCCACCTTCATAGAGCTTCAACGTCTTGTCCTCGCTGGCTGCATTCTCGTACAGAAACTGGCTAACAGTTGGATCCGTGACTTTGTCGGCGGCGCCATGTAGAATCAGCAATGGAGCCGAAACCTGTAAACCACACTCAACAAAATAACTCCACAGGTTATTCTTTTATCTTGTGGACATCGTACTAGTTACTATTACTACATAGATCAAAAGTTTAGGGAGGGAAAAAATAAAGGGTCCAACCTGGTCAACTTGAGCCTCAATCTCTTCAGTAGCCTTGAGCAGCTCCACAGCTGTTTTCAATCGCATTCGATGGCTGTAACTAATTACATTGTAATCACACTGAAACCCAAAAAAAAAAAGGGAACACCAGTCAGCAAACGAGCTACAAATCTACGCTTCTTTCAGTAGAAAATGATGGGTAGAGGTCAGAGGACACACCATTTTCCGCTTCACCGGGTCCCTGAAAGCAAGCTCTGCTAAATCATTCTCTGGCATAAGCTTTGCCTTGGGTAGGAGGCTAGCCATGCAGGTCAGTACCTTCAAAACTGGTGCCGGAGGCTTGAGTTCATCTGAGATCTTCGCAACAACTCACGGTTAGCTAATAATTAAATGTTATAACAAGGAACTTTTCCGTCAAGAAAGATGCAGACCATACACATCAGAGCCAACGTGTATGACAAGGTAAATGCATTTCTCTACCATGTCAGACTAACATTCAGGTCCAAATATTGGAATATAATGTTATACTTTGTCGCTTCGTACATCAGATAAAGAGTGTTCACAGCTAAAACAGGAATGCTTGTGATAGTAAATGGAAGTCAGAAGATTGTAATAGGCGTTAAACAAGTAGTCAGGACACAACTTTGAATGATTAGTAACTGCGAGTATCCCATGCACATAACTTCCAAGATGCAAAATAAATGAAGACTCTAAATAGCCTTGTGGGCTGTGGCGGGTGGGCTGGTTCTAAAGAAGCCTAATTGATGCAAACTAAGTTGCTTACCTTAAAGTTCCATACAGCAACAAACATAGTTCATGAGTCTTAATTGTACTACAATATGCCACAAGAACCAAAGGTAAGTTCTAATTATTGCTCACTTGGTTCAGTTGCTTAGAAAAGAAGAAGACTGCTTCATGAAGCCGATTTAAGATGAAGAAGAACTGCAAATAGATAAAAAAAAAATGAAAGAGCTTACTCTACACATGGGGGCAACGAGGATGACACCATCCCATTCACTTGGATCCTTCAGATGGAGTTTGATAGTAACAGCACCACCCATGGACTGTCCCAATATGAAGCTTGGCAAACCTCTCACCTCAGGTCTTCCTGCCAATAACCAACTATGGAGCCATCACAACTGAAGTACAAATAACCGAGAACCATTTGTTATGATCCACACTATGCGAAAGGGGGAAGAGTCAGAACCTTTGATCTTAGCAAACATTTCGTAGGCATTGTCTACTAAGTCATCAAAGTTCTGAATGTAACCATGCAATCCTTCAGAGAGTCCAAAACCTGGGTGATCCACGGCATAGACAGCATACCCCGAAGAAGCGATCTGGCTTGCAATACCTGTCATTCATTGAACACCATCAGTATTGCAGCAGCTCAAATTATACCTCATTAACCTCAGTGCGAGAGACGGACCTTCAAAGAAGAAGGTGCAGGTATCACCATAACCATGGCAGAAACACACAGAACCTTTGATTCGAACTCCAGGTTTTGGCATCCAGCTCTTACAAAACACTTCCTGCCCCTTAAAGTTTATCTCATACCACTGCCAAATCCCAGTAACACAACCAAAGAAAAAACCCATCAATTGAATTGACACAATCCCCACTCTGTTGAAATCAGATTCAGTTTATTTCATTGCGTACCTCTTCTGTTCGAATCCCTGGAGGAGCCAGCTGCCCATGAAATCGATTCAGTAAATAACCCACATAGAAGGAGCAAACCCAAATTGAAAAAGGGAAATTGGAAAAAAGGGGACCTTGTAGAGAGGATGATCGAGCTGCTGCTGTAGATGAGTGAAAGCGGATCGAACCAGCCTCCGGGCGTGAGCGTGATCCAAGTTTTGCGAAGCAATCGAATTGAGGTCGAGGGTCGCATCCTCGACGGGCTTCTTCCTCGTCAAGGTTGCAGACACGGTGGCCGGCGGCTGATGGCGAGAAGAAGCTCTGTTCCAAGGCCTTGACAGGAGTTTCGAGAGGGAAGCTTCGGCGTTCCTGGCGAGAGAAGCCATGGATGGATGCGTGAAAGACAGAGCTCGAGAAGGTGGTTGTGAGGAGAAATCGAAGATCCGTTTATGGAGAGAAAATGGACGGAGAAGGGAAAGGAGAGGTGTTGACTGTTGACGGTGGCTTTTTGGTAAGGCACTGACTGAGACTGAGTGATGTGAACGCAGTCGCGCACCCACTGAGTGGGAAGGTTGATGGCGACACCAAGTGGCTGCGCCCACACTTCAACTATTGTTCCCCATTTTCCCCGTTTTCTTTGGTCTCTTGCTCCGTCCGTTGTTAATTTTTTAAGGTTCTATGATTGATGATCCACTCTTCTTATATTGTCTTCTTCTTTGTTATTTTGATTATTTGATGGTGAAATGTGTTCGTGTTTTCTCCCTTTGAGAGGTTTGTTACAAAGCTGCCGGAAAATACCAAACCTTTTTTAGGCCTTCTTGGCTGGGTCGGGCTTTCGTTTATGGGTTTGATGTGGTTATTGGTTAAAAGGGTGGACTTGTTAATCCACGAGTTGATGTGATGTTCAGATTCTCTGCTTAAATGTCGTGTCGAGTTGGTGAGATAGAAATGATAGAAGTAAGGGTCTTTGGTTCGATTTGGAGAAGAATTTAATACCTAAATTCAATTCATATTGAGCGAATTCAATATTAGAATGTGTTCCAATTTTGGATCCCGCTTAAACAGATGGGATGCACTATGAAAATCTTCAACTGCTTTGTAGGAAATTCTCGATATTCAATTAACCAAACATAATGTCTTTATAATCAGCAAAACTTGTGAAAATAAGAAAATTGATGGTCTAGTCAGCCACACTTCTCAGTTCTCACTCCTCCCAATTGCAAGTCGTGTTGGTCATCGTCAGTGTTGCTCCGTTGCCTCCCCTTTTCCGGAATTTCTATTTTACATTTTTTCCATCTCCTTTGCCAGATCTCTAATTTCATCACCCACAATTCTAATTTTCTGCCTTTGCATCTTCCTCCCCGTCTACTTTCTTTATTATACTTTTAACGGTTCATTCTTTTCTCCTAATTTTTTATTTAATCATACTTTTTGTAACATCTCAAACCTTTTTCCAACGAATATATTGTTCGTTTTGATTCTAGACTCACACAGTTTCTACCTTGTGGTGTATATCAAGGTTACTACCGAGAGGTAACTTATCCTTACATTGCTCCACATGAACACGTTTAACTTCAGAGTTCTTACAAGAATTCTTCCATTTCACCCCAAAACGTATCTTCTCATTTAAGGTCGGTTTCTTATCTCTCACGTACTTTGTGGATGTGGGATTCGCCTAACGTGTTACATACACTCTCCCCCCCAACCCCTCCCCCGGACTCAAAGTCCTCGTTGACCCCACCATCGTTCAAGAGGGATGCAGAGAGGCTCTGATACCACTTGTAACATCTCGAACCTTTTTTCGACGGAAATATTTTCCGCTTTGGGCCTATACCCGCATGATTTTTTCCTTGTTGTGCATAACAAAGTTACTTACCAATAAGTCATCCATCTTGCATTGTTCCACGATGAGCACGCATAACTTCATAGTTGTTACAATAACTCTTAATTTCACTCAAAAAGCGTCTTGTTAGTTAAGCTTAATTTTTTACTTATAAATAATGGATCTCTCCCTTACTTTTTCGATGTGAGATTCGCCTAAGGTGTTACACTCTTCTTCTTATTGTTTTGTTCTTATCTTTCTTTTTTGTGGCTTAAGGTGCAAGATCAAAAAGTTTCTCTCATAGTTTTAGGATGCAAGATTGGAAAAGTTTGCTGTTTTTTGTGTCTACCGTTCTCTTAAGATGTTGTAATTGAATCTCAAAACTTGAGAGAAATATCCTCAATTAATTTTGTTTTAGTGCCTTGCCTTCTTATTAATGTCTAAGCTAAAACAAAATATTCTTAATGTCTCACAAACAAGAGCAGTACTAATTAGTATTTAGAGTTCTCATCTCCATGTCTAGGCTAATTTTCTCTTGACTTTTAAGATGTTTTCTTCATTTGCGTTTATTAACTTTGTATTTTGGGGTCATTGCGTAGTGATGAAATAGTAATCACTTGAGGCAGAAAGTATTAGAAGAAATACATTATGAGAAATTATTCCCACAATGTCTCTTCTCACTTACTATACACAATTTCATGTATAAACTAACTGAACCATAAATAATATTCTAGGATGTATTTAAGTTTTCATTATTTATCAAATGCATGATATTAAAATGTATATGCAAAAATTATGTTTTAATTCAATGCATTGGTGTTTGAAATTTTTAAAAACGACAAGGGAAAAAATATGTGAAATCTATTTTTTTGGATAATGATGATATAATATTAATAATTAAAAAGAGAGGAAAAAAAGAGTGAAAAAAAGTAAATGCAGAAAACAAATTGATAGTCCACAGGCACCACTTCACAAGAAGCAAGCAAGCCTTTTGGGCTACAATAGAAGTGACTGAAACTACTATAAGATTCTCTCATTCTGATCCATGCTTATCAATCAAGATCAACTCAATATTCTTAGGTTCTCTGATGTTATAAAGCCATTAGATCGATCTGCGTAGCACTCAGAACATTGTACATTCTTGCCATCAACTACTACTTCTTGAGAAAAACAAGATCAGGGTCACCGCCCTAGAACATCCTCTGATGAGTCTTGAAGCAAGGAAGACAACACTGATCCTACATTTGACAATCAACCCTCGGAGGGAAACGTCTTGGCTTTTTACGTCCTCAGACCTCAGCCAATCTCCATATCTACTTTCTTTGTGGCAGTCAGCCAATGATATACAACCGAGCCGATTTTGAAAGTTATTATCTTGGTGGATGACTCTGTTTCATTAAAAATTTTGGAGTTTCATTCAAGTCACACGTCCAACAGAAAGCGTGTAGTAAAAGCGTTGTATACACATTAGATGTGATTCTAAATCCTTCATACCCCTATATTTATAATTTTGTTTAATATGAGATTTCATGTGTAATTGTACTTGCACTTAAATCATCAAAAGTGTAATCAGAAAGGTATGTGCTTGTTAGTTTACATGTACTTGTCAATTTCACTATTTTAATTACATCCAACACAATGACATAATTTTTTTTGGTTCCGAGTTCCGACAACTAAAATTCCTACAACATCAAAATAAGGAATATCTTTTGCTTGTTGAATTTGAAAGATAAATGTTTTAGATAAATCTTTGGATTTGGAATATGAAATGTATATGATAGATTTGTGTCATTTTCAATTTTGTTATTTGCTTGTTGGGTTTTAACGATTTCGTTGGAAGGATTTATGGGTTTGAAATAGGATTTACATTAGTACTCCTAAAAGGTGAAATGAAAAGAAATAAAGGGCAGAACAACAATTAGGCATTGAGGATTTCACAACTTTTCGTAATGGCCTAACCTTTTTTTTAACTCCAACAATTTATGGAACCCATAATTTGAAACAAAGAAAACTCCAACTTAACTAGCACTACGATTTGATATCTGATTTTTTTTTGTAATAAAACCATAAATTGTTACAAATCCATGAATGTTTGAATTTGGGTCCCAACTCAACAAGCAAACAAATTATAACATTATGTAGAAACCTAGGAGTCGTTTGTTTCATGAATTTTTAAAATAAGAGTTTTGGTAGATTTTGGATTTTGAAAAACCCTGGGTTTACGATGGATTTGTAGTTATGATGGATTTGAAAGGGTTATTGTTTGCTTATTGGATTTTGTTATGGATTTTACTTCACTAGCTTTGTTGATATAATGGCTAACAAACCTTTTTTTCTTTCTTTTTGGTAGAAGGGCGAAGGTCATAGCGTCCTAATTCGTATTAACAATAGAACAATCCATGAAGATGGCCATGGAGACATACACAAGCCAATTACACAAAGTTAAATCATACACATTGAAGGGATGTGTACCAAAAGGGGCTAAATGGCCCTTGCTAGCCAAGTAATCGGCTGCATAGTTTTTCTCCCTATACACATGGGAAACATACACTTCCGAATCAAAACAAAAAAAGTCTCTCAATCCGAGCAGCAATAAGACCATGTCGATGATCCTTATCCATGTGGTTCTTCATAATGCCGATTATTGTTGATGAATCCAGCTTCAGCTCCACATTGCGGAATCTCTTCTCACAAACTCGGTGGAGTCCAATCTCTACCCCTTTCAACTCTGCCATAGTGCTCGTGCAGTTCCCTAAGTTGCAGATAAAGGCATCCAGGCAGTGCCCAAATAGTCACAGATTACTCCATAAAACTGACTAACAAACAATAAACTTTTAAACAAGTCCATAATAATTTAAATTTTAAAGTCAAATCCATCACCGAATCCATAAAAAAAAATAACACCTAATTTCCCAACCGATGCCCACAGCATCAATGAAAAGATGACTCAAGCCTTCCACTCTTGTCACCTTAAGCTTTTTGGACCTCCTTTGCCCTGTGTATATGGTTTCATTTGTTTTTTTTTTGTTTGTTAATTATGTTATTTTTGTCGTTTATTGGTTATGCATGTTATTAACTTATTATGTAATTTATAAGCAAATATTAGTTGTTCGTGTAAAAGAAAAGCTGGGAAAAATACATGTGAGTCTTGCTTGCAAGTATTTTAGAATCAATTTTTTTTTATATATATTGCATGTACAATTGAATTAGCTTATTTAGAAAAATAAATTATTGGTCTATTCCGACCCACGAGAATAGGCCATTCGCGACAAAGAAATTCTGAAATTACAGAGGCACGAACCCGACGGAATCGTGCGTTGAATCACAACAAAAGCTCATCCAAAACTCGATTTAGTCTGTACTTGGATAGTAGTTCACCATGAGTATAAGTAGAGGATACTCTCAAGAGTCTAACCTCATCCTGAATACAGTGCAATTTGACTACCGTTCTCTCTGCAGTAAGAGTTGTATCACCAACAATTGTAAAACAGGTGCAGGAAGGATTGTTCCTCGTCAAACCTCGAAAGCAAGTAAGGAACTTTTCCCTCCCCTGGTATTATTATTATTATTCTATTCAGAGAGTGGAAACTGGAAGTGGGATTTTATAATCCACGCGAGGTATGAGAGAAATTCCAGTTGGTTGGTTGTTTTTTTTTTTTTTTTTTCTCTCTAGCAGTCTCTTCTTCTCTCCCTTCCCTCCCCTGCTGCTGCTCTGGGTTTCGTGTGTGTCTCTTCTGTGTATTATATAAATGGGGTTTTGTTTATGGCTATGGGAGTATATTTATAAATGGGGCTAGTGTTTGTTGGCGTTGGGAATCCCCATTCCCATTCCCTTCTCATCAAACATTCATTCCCACATTGCACGCCTGTTTGTTTCTTCGTTCCTCTCCTCCACCATCATCATCATCCTCCTCCATATAACTCTGTAAAATTTTTGAAATTGCAGAGCAAAACCCAGAAAAATCACAGTCACCCAGAAGCCAATCAGTGCTCGGAGTTCATTCACCGGCGAAAGAAAAGGAAAACGACAAGAAGAACGGCTGCCAGAAGAACTGGGCAGGGGGGCGACTCTGTAAATTCTCTCTGTTTCGTCATCAAACAAATATCAGAAAACTAACAGCTGCTCTGCTGCTGCTGCTGCTGCTCGCTCACACAAAACGCCAACGCCACCTCTCTTTCTCTCTTCCCGTTGTTCATTCCTCACAAACATTCTCTCTTCACCCTCTCCATTATATGTCTGCCACATTCCCATGAAACTTCATCTACTTGAGTCCCATTGCTCCCTTCTCCCTTCTTACTCCCAGGATTCCCTCTCCTTCCTTCTCAATCCCCCTTACGCCCGGTGCCGCCGCTCTCCGCCGCCTTTCCGCGGCGTCCGGATGGACTCTTCTTCTCCTCCTCCTCCAGCTCTGTCGTTACCCCGCCGGCAGAGGGAGAAGGTTTTGGTGATCATGGGGGCAACGGGTTGCGGGAAATCGAAGCTCTCCGTCGATCTCGCAACCAGCTGCGGGGTCGAGGCCGAAATCATCAATTCCGACAAAATGCAGGTCTACAAGGGGCTCGACATCGCCACCAACAAAATCACGATTCCCGAGCGGAAAGGGGTCCGGCACCACCTCCTCGGCGATTTGGACCCAGCCGACGGCGAATTGACCGCCGCCGAGTTCCGCGACGCCGCCGGGGCGGCGGTCTCCGACATTGCGTCGAGGGGGAAGCTCCCCGTCGTGGTGGGTGGGTCCAACTCGTTCATCTATTCTCTCCTCGTTGACCGGTTCCACCCCGGGTCGGACGTCTTCTACGGGTCGGGTCCGGGGGACCGGGTCTCCCCGCAGCTGAGGTACGACTGCTGCTTCCTCTGGATCGACGTCGCGTTCCCCGTCCTCTGCGACTACCTCTGCCGGCGGGTGGACGAGATGGTGGAGACCGGGATGATGGAGGAGATGGCGGAGTTCTACTCGTCGGAGTCGTGGGCGGGTCGGGTCGGGCTGCTGAAAACGATCGGGGTGCCCGAATTGGAATGGTACTACAAAATGGGAAATTTTGAAAGTAATAAGAACAACAGGAAAATGATTGTTAACGGAGGAGATGAAGAAGGAGGAGGAGGGTGGGATACGGTACGGAGGAGCGTATACGAGGATGCGGTGAGGAAGATCAAGGAGAACACGTGTCGGCTGGCGGAGAGGCAGGTGGGGAAGATCGTGCGGCTGAAAAGCGGCGGGTGGGACCTACATAGGGTGGACGCGACGGACGTGTTTAGAGAGCGGTTGAGAGCGGCGGATGAGGCGGCGGCGGAGGCGGCGGCGGAGGAGGAGGAGGAGATGGAGGTGGTGATGGCGGCGGCGGCGGAATGCGGCAGCGGTGGTGCGCGGAGGAAGAGTAGGAAGAAGAGGCGGAGGCAGTGGGCGGAGGTGTGGGAGAAGGAGGTGATGGATCCAAGCGTGAAGATTGTGAAGCGGTTCTTGGAGGAGGAGTAGGTTCTGCATCCAGCTTTTTTCCAGCTTTCTCCAAATAATTTTTTCATTTATTTTTCCAGTTTCCCCATTTCTCTCTCCATACGCATTTTATTTTTTTTCATTTTTGGTTTCAGAAAAAAGGTTTTGAAAATACAGCGTAGGAAAAAGATAGGAAAGAAAAGAAATTTTGATGAGAGTAGATAGTTAGATTAATTTTAGCACCATAAAAGCAGTTTTGTTAGTGCTAGAAAGTTTTGGTAGAATAATGAAGGGAAGGAATGTGGATCTCTGAGCAAGAGAATGTGCATTTCTTTTCTGAATTCTTTTCTATTGATAGCTTGTAATAATTCTTTTTATATATAATTCATATATTTAATAAATTCATTATTATTATCAATTTATCATGATGATATGTGGTTGAAAGATGTCAAAATTTCTTGATTCTAAAATTAGTTAATGCTGAATTAATATTATGTGCATTCTGCATTGTCGATCGTATAGTTTCGTGATCATTCTTTTCACACAAAGCAAGTAGAAAACCGTCATCACAGAGAATCGAATACAGGACAACAAATAGCTACGTCCTCGGAAAGGTCATATGAACTTTGAATCGAAAGAGCAAAATATGCACTTCTAGTGAAGAGAAGAAGAAGGCAAAATCCCAAATAAGTGGCATACAAAAGAGAACTTTTTGAACCCTTTTTGGCTTTTTCTTCCGTCATCTGCCTTTGTTTTTGTTTCTTACTATGAAAATAAACGGGGACCTCCCCCTGGACTCCTGGTGGGACCCAATCGGAATTTGTTACGAGCTGTCCAAAAGAACTGTATAATACTGCAATTCAGTTTTTAAATCGGCTTGGGTTTATTTATCTATTTTTATGAATATTCAGGGGTTTTTTTAATTTATTTCGGACCTATAATAAAAATATGACTATTATTATTGCCTTGCTTGTCATCAAGGAGGTGACCAAGCCATACATTGAGGAAAAATACAGAAAACTCCAGAACATGTAATGAAATTGAATAGTTTTTTTTTTTTGGAAGATTGGACGACGAAATTCTTTACCAACCTTTATACATTAGACGAATCAACTTCGATAAGATTAATATTAAAAAAAGACACAAGACGAACACAAAGTATGGGTGATAAAGAATGACCTAATCAAGCCAAATAATTGGCCACAAACTTGATCACTCTATAATCATACTTTAACCTAACCTGCCAATGCATCGTCATAATTAATGCGCCTAATCTCTATCAAAGAAATTCGACCGCTTCAATAAAGTTTTGTGAGAGAAAGCTCTACACAAAAAATGTATATAGTTAACAAACTATAATGTGCCACTCATTGTGTTTTTCTTCTTCTTTCTATCTTCCATTTTGTATGTGTTTATTTAAGAGCAACTGGATTTAAAATCTATTGATAGATATGGCCAAATTGATCATTCTATCCACCTAGATAGCTAGACCCTGTTAAAAACTATAAGCATAGTGGGGGCACTTTCTCTTTAAAAAAATGGGATTAAGCATGGGCTGAGCACCCAAATTAATTAGCAAATTGGGGAAATGATGTGTCTTACCCCTTTTAAAATATTTGTTAGTTAAAAATAATAAGTATGTTCCATTTTTAGTACAGCCCATTCTCCTCATCAACATACTTGCACGACATCCACCCAATTTCACAGGTAAGTCATGACACATTTTCCATCCCAATAATGTTGCTTTCTTTTTTTTGTTACTTATCAATTTGGTCAGAATTTGTGTGCTCAGTATCATATGTTGGATAAAATAAACCACAGGATACTGCAGAGTAGGAATTGATATCCTTACTATGTGCTATCTGAAATTCGTTGGATTAAGCCGACAAAGTTATCGATAAGATGGTTAAGACACTAAACGTCTAAACCCACATATGCTTTGTCCAAATCTAATGATCTTCAGCCAATAATCCACTCTTTTCGGCCGGTCATTATATGTTGAATCTGTACAAATTTCAAAATCTCCATCAGCTGACTTTTGTCTAGAGACAAGCGCAACAATTACTTACATTCGAAAACTGTGTGATTTCCCGATGCCTATGGAGGGAAGAGGAGGAAGCCAGCTAGACCTAGGCGAGAGAAGCAGCAGAGGGATCGAGCTGTGGAGGAGTAGTGGCGAACTCATAAATTCGAACGAAGGGTACTGGCCGGCTTAAATTGTGGTATTTGGTGAGGGTGTCTAATTAATCCTTACCGACTATTCTTGTTTTAAAATTTGTACTAAATTTACATGCAATTTTACCTATATTTCAAAATTGAGAGACCTCGTGATTTCCATCTAGCTCCATCACTGTGGAGGAGGGAGAAAGAGAAGAAGCAAAGCTTGGATCTTGCTATAGTACTCTTCAAGTAATGACCGACCATGCAAAGGAGGGAGGGACAAGAGGTGAGCAAAGTTTGGAAGTTGTTCTTGGAAAATCTTAAAGGTCTGACATTACTTAGATTTTGTGCTTAGATTAGATTAGATTCTGCGCAATCGTTTACTATATTGTGTAGAAATATTTGGGTCGATAATTTAACTTCCAGCTGATGATAATGTGCACCTAATCCTTCCATTGCATCCAATTCCGGTTTGATGACATGCATCACAATGGAAGACCTAACTGATAGAAGCAAATTAGCAAGCCCATTTAGTGCTCTTTTAATATTCACTTCAGCAAGATCTCCAATCCGATCTCAATGTGCTTCATGAGCACCATATATATATATTGTAGCTCACCACATATATATACTTAGCCCCATCCCAGCTGTGTGTTAGAGTATATTCTATTTGGAAGTACCACCAACATTACTTGGGGAAAAAAAAAAAGAAGAAGTAGACTACAAATATCTTTCTTAATACCATAGGAAACATTATTTTTTTTAATCAAACGCCTCAACCTTGTATTAATAGAATAGTCGGATTCTGATTCCGATAAAGTTATGCAAGAATAATTAGTATCGAATATCCGGATCCATACATCTAATAAACGCAAATCTTAGTGAAAAATAAATAATAAACCTCTAGATCAACTTATGTAGATATCAATCATTCGAATCTATCAGCCCCTTCGAGGCTGTGTATGTACCAACGAGAGGTGTGATCGATGTTAATGCTTAAAACAATATGATTCATTTGTAGACTTTTATGAGGAAAGGTTAATGATGGTTACTTACATTTCATGCTAATGAGTTTGCTGATAACGATATCTTCTAGTTGAAGATCATTAGCTAGATAGTTTTTATATCTTTATGTGAAGATATAGATGATAGGTTTCATTGGTCTGAAGAGAATAGTTTTTATATCTTTATGTAAGAAGTTGATAAAGGTTACCTTATGACTGGTTCTCCATGTATATTATAATCCATCTATGATCAAAGAAAAACACAAGAGGTCTAGTATAAATAGTCTTCTCTGCGGAATGTCACCTTGATCTCGGGACAAATTTGATGTGGAGAATTATGAGTTCTCCGCGTATAGCATGGTGATAAGATAACACCTTATTCCACGACGGAGCTCGACTCAAATTGCTCCAAGCACAACACACAAACCGCACAAAATTACCATGTTATGCATGTGCACTGTCACTTAGATATCACAAGAGGCCTAGCCAGCATAAATAGGCCATTTTATGGTCAAGAAAAACACAAGAGGTCTAGTATAAATAGTCTCCTATGGAATGTTACCTTGGTTATGGAACAAGTTTTTGACAACATAGGAGAATTATGAGTTTCCTGGACGTACAACTATAGTGATAAGATATAACACGTTATTCCACAACAGGGCTCGACTCCTCTCACAAGTTGCACAAAACACAACACATTTCTCTCACAGAATTGCCATGTTGCTGCGCATGTGCAGTGCCACTTTGAAACCAGAACCAAAACTAATCATAACCACATCAATAACAACACCAAATTGTCAGCCAATTTAATAGGAAACAATGATTTATTCAATAACTTGTGATTAAATTATTGGTTACATAGAAGTACAGAATCAACTATTTGAGAGAGAATGGGATAAATCATAAATCTAGTCTTAGATCTCACCTCATACTTCATGTGAGCTGGTACGATGATTAACAGAGATTAGACCTTGTGATCATTACCCAATTTGTGTATAAAATGTGATGAAGGTTGCTACAGTGTCATTGACATTTGATTCAAGTACGATCGAGTTATTACTCTATGGTCGAGTGTACTTAGTGGGCACTTGAACTTTGGATTGAAAATCGAATTCTGACTATGCCACTACCGCACCCAAGTTTAGAGAAAGAAAAGAATTGAAGTAAAAGAATTGGGCAAGTTGGAAAGTTAGGAGGCAAAAAGGTTGGTCAGATCTATCTACATTGAATTGACCGGGAAAGAAACTAATGACCAGACCCTTTATTCCATGTTTTGATTCTGGAGCTCACTACCCCTGTTGATGTAAACTAAACTCAAGGAGTTGACAAATGATGGAAAGTAAACGCCTAATAAAAGAGGCATAATGCGATTTTGTGGTCAATCAATTGCCTTAGGACTGAGAAGAGTCACAGCTGACTGCCTAATTGGCCATTACTATTTCTCTCAACTTGAGAATATGGATACAAAGTAAACGCCTAATTAAAAGAGGCCTAATGTGATTTGGGTCAATCATGCATGCCAAAGTTATTATCATAATTAAACACGAAGGAAGGTAACGAACTACAAAAATGCCATATTTAACACCCTCTCGTCCTCAAATTGACGGAGATAGTTGTGCAATGCATAAGAATCAATGTCAACTTGTGGCTACAAACGGTACGAAAAATATAAATTGTTCGGTCCTTTGTTGATAAATAAAATATACACAATCGGCTACAAGTTAGCGAATACGTTGAGTACCCATCTCAATATGCATGTTTGGTTCCATCACAAAGCACACAAAGTCATTGATTTTTTCCGCCGCACTAATTCATAGTACACTTAAAGATATCGTGTGCGCGCTTTTAAGCTGCAATACATACGAACTATAAGAGCTG